GATAGCACCTCCCACCAGAGCAATGATCAAAGTAATAATGGCCATTCACTGGATTCTTAATGTGTCAGGAATTTTCTCTGCACACATCATCCCCTTTAATCCTCACAACCACTCCATAAGGCAGGTACTATTATTCTCATCACATCCCATTTTTTAACATGGGGCTCAAAGAAGCCAACAAACTTGCCTAAGGCCACACTGCTCGATGTAAAGCCCCGCAGGTCTGGCTCCAGAGCCAGCCTCTTAACCACTGTCCCATACCACCTCTCCATGCTTGACAGCCATTAGCTCCTGTCCCCATCCCTCTCCTCCACTGCATACTTCATGTTCCCTTCAGCCCCTCCCTACGGAGGGATCTCACACAAGGGCCAGGCTATTTGATGTGCTGGAGGGTAGACACTTGTAGGTCATTGGGCACTGGCTCCAGAGGATGGAGAACACAGCCCACTACTGACATCTGCTGGCTTTGGGGCAGAAATACAAATGTGGGCTCACATGCAGGAAGTCTAAATGTTTCAAGGTTATATGTCAAGCTAATGAGTTTCTGAATAAAAACATTCTAACCTCCTTCTTTGATAAATACCTTTGTAATGCCTGGAAGTTCAAAAGTCGAATTTTCAGCTTCCTCAGAGTTCCATACCAGAACAGAGCATCATGGGGAGAAGTGGCTTTTGTCCTGTACCCTTTCTCTCCCCTACTCAAGCCTCAGCCTGCACCACAAGGCTTTGAATATGTGTGCATGTGTGTGTGCATGTGTGTACATCCAGCTCTGTCCAAACCCGCTGCAAACACAAATGCCCCTGAATCACACTTCCAGCTTGGGGGTGCTCATGTCTGCTGTGCACTTGCTCTCAGAAGTGACCAGACAAGAGGTTTCCACAGACCCTGGAAGAAGGCTCAAGGCCTAAGAGTGGGGACTTCCAGGGTCCTCTGTGACCGAAACGTGGTCTGAAAAGGGGTGGCATGCGTTCCTGGTGAGTACGGAAGCACACCCACTTGGCCCACGGCCCCCTCGCCGGCTGGCAGGGAGTGGCTGGAGGAGGGTCAGAGTGGAGCCCTCTAAAGCGCAGGGGCCAAGGCAAGGGCCCAAAGGCTTGCCCAGGTCTAAAGTAGTACCACCTGGGAAAGCGGAGGACTGGGGACAATGGGAGGGCATCAAAAATACCCTTCCAGCGGTCATAACAAATGGTCATAACAGCTTACACAGTTGGGCTCTGACTGTTTCCCAGGTGCTGTTTCGTGGGCTTCATATGTATCAGCTCTTTAATCTTCACAGCCACCCTAAGAGATAAAATATTTTTAACCCTATTTTAGAGATGAGGCAACCAAGCTACGAGTAACTTGCCCAACGTCACACAGACGGCATTGGGATCTTAACCTGGTGGTCTGGCTCAAGTCCACGCTCTTAACTAGTGTGATACAAAAAGATGAAAGAAGAGTGGCAATAAAGGATGGTGAATGGTATGTCAGTTGTATCTCCATAAGGCTAGGGTGGGAGGAAGGCAAGGAAATTGTTAACGGAACGGAAGCAGGTCCAACAATATTGCTATCGGACAAGACAGAATTGGAAAAGGAAAGCTATGAAAGGGCCAAAGAGGACTGTTTCACATTATCAAATGATAGACTTCAACAACAAGAAATGGCCTGAACAGCCATCAGAATATAAACTACTGAAGTACCCTTTAACAATAACACAGCCAGAATCACTATGGGAGACTCACATGCCTCTCAGAGAACATCAGATAAGGAACATTTTTTTAAATAAGGGGATCGAGGACTTAAATATTCACTATACTGCCTACAGCCAATGTCCTAGTTAGTGAAAGATCAAATGCTGTTTTTACTGTGTGAAGTTTCTACCATGTGCACGCACGTTTAAAAAGAACATTGCCTCCGTTTTAAAAAGATAAGAAGTGACAATCTGACACTTCTCAATTTTAGCTATCAACTCTCTTTGCATCTCAGCTGGGCCTTAAAAGGAAGTCTTTCCATACAGTAGACACATTGTTTTTATCAGGGTTTGGAAAGAAAGGAAACTACATGCATACTCAGTTGTTCCTCCTGAAAATGGCTGAACTATTTTCTTTGCTTTCCAACACAGTAGCAGCGGTAGCGAACCTAAGAGTGTGTGTATGTGGTAGGGACGGAGGATGGGGATTCCCATCACCCGTGCAGGGAGAGTGGGGAGGGAGGCCACGCAAGCCTTTCCATGGCCCTTACCTGCATGGTTCTTGGCAAAGGGCAAAGGGCCCTGCTGGAACCATGTCCACAGACATGATAATCTTGGCACAGCTCGAGGGCTTCCTGCAGAAACTGGCAGTGATACTAGACAGACACAAGACGTCAGCCAGCTTCCTTCCTGACTGGCTCTCAGGGATGAAAAGCTGTTAAGTCATCAGGGTCGCTCTCCCAAGGACTGGAGGAAAATGTCCAGGAAAGCAGATTAGCAGGATCAAGGTGACTACTTGTACTACTGGGGCAATGGTAAGAATACATCTTTTTCACCAGTGTCCTAAAAATGTACACTTTTCTCAACGGACTTAACCTATTTAGGGATTTTAATTCAACATTCAGCAAATATTTACTGAGCAGCTACCATGTGCTAGGCACTGGGGGTACAGCTGTAAATAAGATAAAGTTTTTAATAGAGTCCTTGGGCAGGCAGTGGTAGAGGGGACGATTAAAAGAGAGACAGTTAATCGCAGGGAGTGATAAATGCTAAGAAGAAAATGATATAATGGAACTAGGGCTGCCAGATAAAATATAGGACACCTGATTCAATGTGAATTTCAGATAAATACTGTTTTTTTTTAGTGTATGTCCCATGCAATATTTATACTAAAAAATTATGCACTGGTTTTCTGAAATTCACATTGAACCGGATGTCCTGTGTTTCATTTGCTAAATGTGGCAACCGTAAACATCTCATTATTGGGAGGGGGCAGAGGAGGGGAGTGGGCAACTTCAGTTGGAAAAAAGTGGAAGGCCTCTTTGAGAAAGTGACATTTGAGCTGGCATCTGAAGGTACAGAATAGCCAGTTATTCAAGAATCTAGAAGAGCATTACAGGCAGAGAGGGAAGAGCAAATATGAATGCTCTGAGGTAGGAATAAGCCTGGAGCTTGGAAGAAGGGAAAGGGAGGTGGGGGTGGCTGAGCTGAGTGAGGGGGAGGGGAAAGGAGGAAGGTGATGAGTCAAACAGCTTGGCAAGAGTGCCAGATCTTGTAGGGTTTGTCGGCTACGATAAGAAATGTTGAGTAATTTTACCAAAAACTTTTATTTATAATCCTTTTACTCAAATGGAGCAACTTTTTACATTTTCTGCATAGGAGATGCTTTTATATGCTTGTAGTGAGGTTGTGGTCAGGGATAAACACAGTCATCAGGACTGGTGCAGAGGTGATTGGACGTTTTAAAGAGAGAATGAGGAATAAGGGGAGAGGGAGGCTCAAATGAAAAGTTACGAAGGGTTGGTCAGTGTAAATGCGATTAGGCTAGCTGTGGCGGCTAGCTGGCAATCATCAAAGTTGGGCTTCTAGCCTCCCACAGAGACTGGGAGGCAGAGACCCTGCCTTCCTGATGATTACATTTCAAAGGAAGAGCTTTCAGGTCCTTGAGAAAGACACTCCTGAATTGTAGGAGACACATATATAATATCTCCAAGGGATGGAGGAAGAGTTCACAATGTAAGTCCTTTACAGTAAAGCTCTAAGAAAGGGAGGTTGGGGCCCATGCTCAGGTCTTGGTTAGGAAAAAAACAGTACATTCTCCTGGCACCACTGAGCTTTCTTAAGCAGTCATGGGAGAGGCCGAGGCACTGGCATCATCCGAGCGACACGGCCTTATGCTACTAGAAGCCAGTTTTGAGTTTGGTCATCTCTTAGCATAGAGGTTTGGACAGAGTCATTATGGGCTGAGGGCTTTGCTGTTCTCAATGCCTATATAATTTTGTGTTCTTATATGTGTTTCCTTGAATGATGATAAAACAGTGTGCCTTTCAGTCCCAGGAGTAAAAAGCTAGCAATTCCAAGGATTGGCTGAGTGGAGACAGCTGGTCCTGTTAAAGGACAAGGAGGAGGTGGCCAAAACTGAGGGTTGGGATTTCCAGAAGTCACCACTGGTTCCTCTCTTTCCCGCACTCAGTGTATCATAAGATCCATGGGCTCTACCTCTGTCATAAATCCTGAGGCTGTCCACTTCTCTCCATGTGCACTGCTACTTGCCCTAGTACAGTCCCAACATCTCCCTCCTGGATGCTTCCAACAGCCTCCTCACTGGTCTCCCTCCTTCAAGCTCTTCCCTCAGTCCAAGCAATAACTGGTGTGGGCCTTTTAAAATATACATTTGGCGGCCGTCCTGTAATGCACGCACTTAAGACACATCCAAACACTGGCTTACACGGCAGCCGTACATCATCTGGACCCTGCTGGCCTAACCTCATGTCCTGCTAGGATCCACTTCATTTTTTAAAGCCCCAGCCTAGCTCAGTCCTGCCTAAGAACCTAGAATGCTCTGCAGACTGATCACACTGCTGTCTCCTTTTTGAAATTCAGGTCAATTGTCACCTGTTCAGAAGCCTCCTCTGGCCCATTGAACTCATGTCACTGCCTGCCATATCATCCTGTTTTTAAATCCTCTTCGTAACACTTACCAAATCTGAAAGTATTTCACTTGTTTATTCTGTTTCTTCCTCTAAAACATAAGCTCCATGGGGGGGCAGAAAGTTCTCTTCTGTCTGAGACGCTTTGGATATGATTTTGGGCAGTTCGCTCAACAGTTTTATAAGGCCTGCTGCGTGCCCGACTCAAACTAGGTCACAGTCCAGCGGCCACTCGCCGAATCTGTGCTCATCTCAGAACAGGGATTGTGACGCCCCTTAGAGCGGTCAGAGCCAAAGGGCACTGTCGCTTGTGACATCAGCGCAAACACAGAGCGGGGCCGTGATTGGCCATTCGAGTCTGGGTGGGGCCAAGAGCCCTTGGTCCCGCCCCCCGCCTCGGCCCCGCTCACGCATGCGCCCTGGCCGCAGCCTCGCCGCCGCGCCATTTTGCCGGGGTTTGAATGTGAGGTGGAGCGGTGGCAGGGGTGGGTAGTGCCGACTACAGTCCGCGGCTCAGATTCCCTTCTCCGTTCCCGTATCCCTACGAGGTAAGGCGCGGGCATGCACAGCCTGGCATGGTGGCCTCTTGAGACCCAGCTGGGGGAGGGATGAGGCGCTCCCGACACTTCCGAGCGGTGGGAAGCAGGGACCGCACCTCTGGGAGAGAGCGGAATGTGGGCCTGTGCCCCGGGTGGTGCCCTCGGTCAGGGTCTTTCCTTTCGCTGATGGGTCTCGTCTCCCCTCGCGGCGTCCCCAGGCCTGAGGCCCTGGCCCTGTGGTCCCCGGGGCCTGCGAGGGGCGAGGGCAGCCCAGGCGCGGCCTAACGCGAGCGGCGCGAATGCCCGCCCCTTCCCCTCCAGCGCTGCGCTGATTGGCCGCGCCGCTCGGGATGGCCTCTTCTCATTGGTCGCACCCGCGCGTCTGTTCTCGGCGCTCTCGGCCATCCGCAACGTGAGCAGAGTGCGGCGGCGAGGCCTGTGGGCTCCGAAGCGGCTGTGCTGGTGTGCCGGCCTCTGTACGGACCGCCTCTTCCCCTGGCCTCACTTTCTAATTAAGGATGCGGTGGAGATCCTCCTCCCCGTGCTTCAGTCTTCTCGACTGTAAAATGGACATCGTAATATCACTTTGCTGAGTTGCTCGTGAGGAATAGATTGTAGTCTTTGCTCCGGGGTCCATGCACCTGCCCAGTAACAGACAGTAATGGGATCCGCTTCCTGGGGGGAAGCCCTGTGGTGTGGTAGTTCGGAGCATGGAATTCGGCTTTGGAAGTAAAAGGCCTAGGTTGGTTCCAGATTTAGCGCCCCCCCCCCCAGGGGTGTAACTTAGTGCTAGTCACTTCATCGCTCCACTTCCTTATCTGCAAAGTGGGATTGAAAACACCTACCTCGTAAAGTGGCTGTGAAGGTCCACTGAGTTATTACCGTGGTTTACAAAGTCCTGCTTAGGTGACCATTGCCGGCGTCTCCCACCCATCTGTTCTCCTTAGCCACTGTAGCCATGTTTCTGATCTTTTTCTTAAACGTTCCTAGCGCTTGTCCTCGCTAAAACATTTGGACGTGACTTTCGTTTGCCTGGAAATTACCAACGTCAGATCTTTGCAAGGCTGGTTCCCTGTCCAAGTTTCGCTCACCTTATGCCGCCTTTGACTAACCTCTCAAAGGACCTCATCCCTTCAACTCTTCATCACATCACCCTAATTTTATTTACTTCATACCTTTTATCATTATCTAGAACCACTTATACAGTTTACTTGTTCATTGTCTTTCTCAGCTCCTGGCGTGTAAAAAGCAAGGACTTTGCCTGCCTTATTCATGCTGTACCCAGGTGGCCAGTGCTTGCCACATGATAGATGCAAAGGTATTATTCCTTGGATGCACAGAAAGGGACTTTTTACTCTTGGATCCTAGTGCTCCTTTTCTCCTCCACTTGGGCCCCCATAGTCAATTTTTGGGCCCCTTTTTGGTGTGTCTTCATTTTTTGCATAATTGTTGGGATTCTTGACCTACCCAGTCTTTTCCCTGTTAAGACCCTTTATCTTTCGTTTCTTTCCATCAGTGCAAGGGAATTCTCTCTTCCCTTCTGTTTACTTTGATTTCTGCTGGTTGGGGGCTAGGATAGAAGGAATCCATTTCCTGTACAGGGTTAGATGGGTTTGAGAGCAGTGGTCTACCTTTGGTATTAATTTGTTCCTTTAATCATTTAATAACTTCAGTGAGCATCCACTTAATCCCTGGGAATACAGTGAAGAAACAAAGTGGACAAAGTCCCTTCCTTCGGAGAGCTTATATTCTAGTGGAGGAGAGAAACAGGAATACACATAAATGAATTAGATAATTCTAGATAGTGACAGAGTGATGTGATAGATGAAGAAAGCTTCTCTGTGGAGGTGACATTTGAGCTGAGACCAGGTATGGAAGGACGAGGAAAGAGAATATTCCAGGCAGAGAGAATAGAAAGTACAAAGGCTCGAGGACGGGAGCAATCTTGGAATGTTGGAATATTGGAGGAAAATCCAGCTTGCTAGAGTAACATATGAAGTGAGAGGTATCTAGGGGCAAAGATCGTGTAGGGCTTTGTAGACAATGGAAAAAGCTTGGGTTCTTCTAAGTGGCATGTTTCTGTGATTAGAAAGCAGAGGGTGGGTTGAGGTGTTGGGGTGTGTTCTTGATGTGTGTGCCAGATAGTTTTCATTTATTGGATCTCTCTCCCTTTCCCCAGATGTAAGGCCTCAGGAATGGTTCTCTAATGTGGAGGAAATATCTAAGAAAAGGCACACATCTTGGATCAACTTATGTCACAGATGTCTGTGAGATGGCCTTGGAAAACAATCTTTTATTCTGAAAGTTTCCATCTGTAACTGAGGGCCTGTGGGAAGAGGCTAGACTTAGGTCCAGCCATTCATTTAACAAGAAGAACTTGAAATTTAAATAAGTCTGTCATAATTGATCTAGTGTGGTACATGTTTTTTGATTTTTGTGTATTGGTAGGCATTTCCAGAGATAACTCGCTGGAGAAGTAAAGTATCACCTCACTTCTCATTTAAAGGCAAAAGAGCAAATGTTTCATTTCTAGTGTGAATCTTTATTTTAAAGTTAGTAACACTTTTTACATTTCTATATTGCTAATAGTTCATAGTATCAAAATACCTTCATCTATGGCCAAATAATATCACTTAATTAGACCGTGATCTTGTTGATATATTATGAATACCTGTGGCATATTGCCTAAAATTACCTAATTTGTCACACTTTCCCAAATCAGGGCTAAGCTTGGGTTTACAGACATTATCACTAAGGAGACAGAAGAAGAATTTGTTGACAAGTGTTTAGTCCCTTAACTTACATTAACAATATGGGGTCTATATGGTATTGTATAACTTACAGAGATTGTAGTATGCATATTTATATTCCACCCACCCATCCCTCCCCCATGGACACACATTTTTCCCCCACCTTTTTTTTTTTTTAAGTCTTATCCTAGCACCTCTCCGTTGTCATTTTTAGGGTCATTCTGTCATGTGGTCTTAGAATCAGTTATCTCCAGCTCTTCTTGTTTGTCACAGTCAATTGACCAAAATAAATGTGAAGCATTCTTCACTATAGTGTTTTGATGGGAAAAAAAATCAGTAAAGGCTACGTAGCTTTTGAATATAGCACAGAAATACTTAGGTATTTAGTACATGCCCATCACTAGGGAGATTGCAGTGAACAAAACACAGAGTCACTACTCTTGTGGAGTTTACAGCCTAATGGAGGGGGAAGCATAGTAAAGACAGCAAATTTGTGTGCGTGATAAAATTTACTTGGAAAAACAGAGTAAGAGAATGGTGAGTGGCCAAGGTGAGTGCCCTTTTAAATAGGGTGGTCCAGGAAGGCATCTCTGAGAGGAGATGACATTTGAAGAAAGACCTGAATGAAGTGAGCAGTGAGCCACAGAGCTCTCCAGGGGCAGAGCTGTCCAGGCAGATGGGACAGTAAGTGCAAAGCCCTGAAACAGAAATGCAAGCACTGGCAGATGTGAACAATAATGCAGGACAAATTGCAGATGCACATCTTTATTGAAGTACTTTTGAATGAACAGAAATTTATTATGGCGGTAGGTTGGTCCTTTGTTTATCTGATAGATGTAGCTGAGTACCTACATTGTGTTGGGTCTCCTAATAAGTGATCTTCAAAGAATAGTCTCCAATCCCAGGCCACATCCATGTTTTAGCTGCCTGATTGACATATTGATTTATACATTAGTTTGTGTGAAAAAGAATGTCTACTGTGTGCCAGGCAGTGTTGAAGGTCCTGGGCATAAAGATGAAGAAGACAAAGTTCCTGCCCTAAGGAATTTACAAAGCAGAGATAACAAGTAAATCAGAGATATCTCAGATGATGATTAATGCCCTTAACAGTGTAACAGGGATGAGGTAGATGATAGTCATGGAAGGCTCTTTTGGGTTGTTGACTGTGGGCTAACAGCCAAATTATGCCAGATATCAAATTAGAAGAAAGGGCATTATTGCAGGCAGGGAGAACTGTCTTGTCTGGTTTGAGGAACAGAAAGAAGGCATTTAGGGCTGGAACATAGTGACAGGGAGAAGGTGGGAGATGAGATTGGCAGGTGCTAGATTGCATGGGACTCTGTCATGAAGAAAGTTAGTGAATAACAGATTTATTGAGGAATGTATTTAAAAATTCAACAAAATAGATTCTGTTAACCTCTGTAAACCGCACCCCCCCAGCACACACACAGTTTCTAACATGTTGCCTTGCATAAGTCTTACAAGATAGAATAATTTGCATGTGGCAAACAAAGAAAGACCCTTTTTGTTTTAAGCTCATGTATACCGGTGTCAATGATTTTGCTTGGCCACAGCAAACTTTCATTATTTCGTAACAGATTCAGCATTTTAACAGAACAAAGAACGGGAAATCAATTGATTAAATCACTGGTTTACCAAGTGTGTTCCATAATTGGTTCTATGGCCAAATGATGGGAGGACCCTGGATTAAACAGCATTAAATGGATAACTTACTGTTCAAGTTCCTGAGGCCTTCAAAGTGAATCTGCAAAAGAGAAGGGATATGACGCACAGCACTTTCCAAACTTTTGATATAAAAGCCAGAAAGAGTAGCCTCTCAGCTTGTATGTGTGGTTGACTGGGACTTGATATTCAGGCCCATAGTGTGAGTGGTCTGCCCTGGGTCAAAGGAAGTGAATATATGGGCGGTGGAATCTACTTAATCAGTCAGAATACCTGCTTCCCTTGTGATTAAAAACGTTTTCTAGTTCAGAGAAAGGACTATTGAGAATACAAATAGTTTCAAACAGATCATTCTCCTTAGCAGGTGGTGGTTTCTGGCCGTGGAGGACTGCTTTGCACAAGCACAGCATTAGCTGTAGCCCTTTGTAGAATTTTGTAGCTTTTTTGTTGTTGTTTAAAGTGAAGAGATGAAGCATTATGGCTTTTTAATTTGGATCTGACTTGTTCGAAATCTTGGTCATCTTTGACTTCTTCCCCTCCCTACTCATCTGGCTGCCCTATTTTTCACATCACCCTTCCTATTGCTGTTCCGAGTGCTTACACTCAAGTTCCATCCTCTTGTCATTATCATTTCAACATGAGAGAAAGCCTTGGGTAATAGGAATAGGGTAGACCCATGGAGTCAGACTGATTTGAATCTGATCTTGTTTGTGACTTGGGGCAACTTAGTTAATCTCTCTTTGATTGTAAAGTGGTTATTGCAAGAAATGATAGGAAGCATATAAAACATCAAGTACTGTGTCTGGCTCATGGGTGTCACCATTCCTCCACTTTATAAAAGTGTCTTAACAGATCTTATTCGCTTCCTCTGCTCCATTCTATAAAAAACATTAACAGCCTCAAATTCCTATACTCCAGTTTCATTAAGTTTTTACCCATTTCAAAAAACCTCTGGTGTCTTCCTCTTGTACATTACATCATGAAACTCTTCAGCTAAGTGTTGGAAACCTCTGTGATCTGATCTCAACCTCCAAGTCCACTCACTGTTCCCCAAAGGAGCTAACTATGCGTTCTTCCCCTCTCTGTGACTTTGCTCACACTATTTCCTGTATGAAATGGGTTCTCATTTTACTTTGCCTGTCCAAATCTATATATCCTTCCAGTTTACAGCTTCTGGGAAATCTTGGACAGAAATACCCCATTGACTTTTCTTAGCCACCTACCAGTTTAGTCGCTGTTGGTGTGATTCATTTGGCACTTATACTCCATGGGGACAAATGTGTTTCAGAATTCAGATTTTTTATTTTATTTTATTTTATTTTATTTTATTTTATTTTATTTTATTTTATTTTATTTGGAATGCACATACTGTAGATTACGAAACATCCCCAGGAGGACATGGGGATGACCCTGCAATCAAACACGTTAGTGTATCTTTAGTGAAACAAATTTACATACTAAGTGAGATTAAGTGGGTTGTATTTATAGCCTCAGGCAGTTCAAGCCAGGTTTTGCTGCCGGGTGAGTTTGCCGCAAACTTGTTTAAAAAACCTTTCGGTTTGTAAATTTTTGCATCTCAGAACTGCAGAAAAGGGACTATAGGTCTGTGGTTGTTATTTCCAATATTCAGTTGTATCTTGTCTTCCAGCTAGGCTTTGAGAGCCTGAACTTGATTGCTTTTTGTCATAGATGTCTTTTAACTATAATAATAAAATTTTATTAACTGATTGTAAATGTAACACATATAGATAGTTGTAGGATATTAGGAAAATCTAGAAGACTATGAAGAGAATGGAAGTCCCCTTGTACATCATGTAGACATTACCACTGTTTATATTTTGGAGTGTATTTTTAGTTTTTCTATATATTTCAGTATGTGTAAGTTTTTTTTAAGATAATTTGAATTATGGTATATTTGACCTTTTTTTTCTCATAGCTTTATTACATTTTACAAAAACTTTATGTACTTAATTTGTTGTTGTTGTCATAGAAGCCCCATAATAAGTCATAATTTGGTGCATGGTTGCCCTAAAAGGGCTTCATTTCCCCGAGAGCTGTTAAGTGGCTTTGACCCTAAAAGCAGCTTAACAAGATCTAAGCAGTAGTCAGGCTTTTTGAGATAGGCTTGTTGAGATATGACTTGTCATGAATTCATCCATGCTGTCACAAATGGCAGGAACGTCTTCCTTTTGTGACTGAGTAATATTCCATTGTATACGTAGACATTTCATTATCCATTCATCCAGTGCTGACTGTTAATAATGCTGCAGTGTACAGGGGGGTGCAGATACCTTTTCAAGTTACTATTTTCCTTCAGATAAATATCCAGAAGTGGAATAGCTACTTTTAATATTAAAATATATTCTGTTTTTAATATTTTGAGGAATCTCCGTACTTCTTTCCACCGTGGCTGCAGCAGTATACATTCCCACCAGCAGAACACCAGGTTTTCCTTTTCTCCACGTCCTTTCCAACACTTGTTATTTCCTATCTTTTTGGTGGTAGCCCTTCTAAGAGGTGTGAGGTGATAGATGTCTTGCTGTGGTTTTGATTTACATTTCCCCGATGATTAGTGATGCTGAGCACCTTTTTATGTATCTGTTGGCTATCTGTATGTGTTCTTTGGGAAGATGTCTATTCAGCTCCTGCCCATTTTTAAATTGGATTTTTTTTCTGAATTATATGAGCTTTTCTATATTTTGGATATTAACCCTTTATCAGATACGATTTGCAAGTATTTTCTCATTTGGTATATTGCTGTTTCATTTTGTGGATGGTTTCCTTTGCTGTGCAGACACTTTTTAGTTTGATGTAGTCCTACTTACTTAGTTTTGCTTTTGTTGCCTTTGCTTTTGGTGTAGAAAGTAGCTTTTTAATCATAATCACAGCTGTCATCTTCTGAACCCCAAAATTATCTCCCCAGGTGCAAGTTCTCAGTATATGGTTTATTTTCAGTACCTATGGTTTCATGTTGTACATAAAGGAATTTATTCCAGTTTCTTTAATCTTAGAACTCTGTAGGATCCTTACTGCTTAAAATTTTAATTTCTAATGGTGGGGCTTCAGGAAAAAATCCTAGTGAGTCCTGTTTTTTACCCTTAACTTGCCCTTTTTCATAGCGTTAAATCAGATAAACTTTACGGTGACTTTGATCAATTCTTCAATTTTGTTTTTCTGTGCCTGTCTTTGAAATTGTATTTTTTCTTCTTTATCTCAAAATTTTTTCATCACTGTTTCAGAAAAGCCTACCTTATCTTCTGGAACCTTGTCTCAGCTAAGAGTTAGGCTTATATAGCCCACACCTAAAACATAAATGGATGATTTTCAGAGAAGGGGAGACACATAATATAAAAGGGTTCTTCTGTGTAAATCACTGTGTCCCCTTTAGGTTCCATGGCAATGGAGCTCAGCGATGCTAATTTGCAAACGCTAACGGAATATTTAAAGAAAACTCTTGATCCTGATCCTGCCATCAGACGTCCAGGTAAAGAAAATGAATATTTTTTGTGGTTGATTTTATTCTTAAAGGACAGGTATGGGAAACCTTGGTGCATTCTGCCTATTTGTAAATTTAAAAAAAGAGAGAGATTCATAATTGGATTCTTGGAATAGTTTATTTCTCATTCTCCAGCCATAAAGTGCGTGGTTTGCTGCTTACAGCTACTGTAACATATGGTGGTATGGGGTTTTTAAAGAGATTTTGGTTTGTTTTTTGAGTAAAATAGATTTTATTTGGTATCTTCTGGGATAAAAAGGACTGGCATATTTAGAATGCTATGTCCCTTGACTTTTCTGAAAATCCCCAACCTGCCTCTTTTAGAGATATAATAATGAGGGCATAGAGATAAGAGTTAATTGCCTTAAAAAGTGATTAAGTGAATGAAACTAGGTAATTTGATACTGTGTCTTAATCCCCATGTTGGGTTTGACTTAATTAATGTATTTTAAGACCTAGGGTTCTTCCCCTCCTCCTTCCCACCATCCTGATTTTGACCAGTTTTAAATAGAGACTTAGTATAAGTTTAGAATTGCAAGCTCAGATGTCCACAGAAGTCGGACATGAAGGTAAGTGAGGAAGTCAGGCCAAGTGGGGCCTGGTGATAATGGTGTTATTGTATGCCTTGGTTAAGGGGCAAATATTACTTGGAAACAGCTAACTCTGGGGGATTCAAACCAGTCTTTCAAGATCAGATTTCCAGCTTTGCTCGAAAAAATAAGGATATTTATATGAAGTACAAATTCTCATTTTTATCTGATAATTCTCATTTTTAAATGATAGCAAGTAACTTCAAAAAAATCTGAAACATGGTACAAACCAAACAGACTACTTCTGAGGGCCAGGGGTGTCTTATGGGTAGCAAGTTGATGATCCTTGATGTAAGTCATATTAACCAGAATTGCTCTTAATCTGCTTCTTCAGAATTTACGAATGTGGATTCTCATAAAGAGGAGGCACCCCATGAAGACCCAAATAAGTGCATGCACATGTGTTATGTTTTATATATGTCATATATGATAAATAGAATTGTACACGTGTTAATTGTACACGTTAATGCATCCATCCTAGTCTAGAAAGGCCATTCTGATTTTCTCATTAATGCCTAAAGAAGTAATTTGTTCTTGAAAAAAGAGGAAATTAATGGCTCTAATCTTAGACTTTCCTGGAAAGCCTCTGCTAACACTGATTATTAAAAATTATTTTTTTAATCATTGTGTCTTTGTAAGGTGGGGATGCTGTTGTTTTATGAATCCAGGACAAAATGTAGGAATAAATTTACGTTTCTAAGAAGAACTACAAACATAGTGTTTCTCAGGGATTGCTGGACATGAAATACTGACCAATCAAATACTGAAACAACCAAAGTGTTCTACTGAACTGTACAAACCATACAAAACCATAGTGCGTCCCTTCCTGAAAAACATTTTTCTGTTCAGCATTCTTTATCTTTCAAGAAACACATGTAGACACAAAACAGGGAGGGTTTGAGGATGGAAGTTAAACTCTTGGGACTCAATTTAGAAAGAAGAAAGGTATTAAATCACATGAAATCATAGAAAATAATAGATGCTAACAGCAGACCTTTTCAGTAAATACTGGAACCTTGGAATGGATGTTGGCTTATGAAGCTTAAGATAAGAAAAATTAGAAGTGCTGTAACCCTGCACTGTGTGCTCAGTAAACCTAGGAGATTTACTGTCCCTAAGCGTAGAATGAGTTTAAAATATGCAGGTAAAATCTTTGTATGAATTTATTGCTGATAATAGAAATGTTTAGTTTGAGAGGAAAACTGAGGGCTAATATGGTAGAATAAGGACTGGACTAAAACTTCTAGACAAGTTAGTTAACCTCAGTGGCCTTGTCTTTAAAATGAGGATACTACTACCTACCTCTCTGGGTAGTAGTGACAACTTATCTTTGTGAGGATAACTTAGCTATGTGAGGAAAGCACCAGACCCATAAGGGTAATAGTAATGTGTATGAGCAAGACTTAACCCATCTGCTCTTAATCACATATTATAAAAGAAATATTACTACCATTATTAATAGTAATCTTTCTGGAACAAGACTGGGTGTATGACTTTTGCCCTAAGATCACTTAATCTCTCTAAGAAGCAGATTCTCCTTCACTTGGAATGATCACAAACTTTATAGGTTTGTGAGAATCGGGTACATTAATGGATGGTAAAGTGATCTGAAAACTGAGGTATTATATACGTTTAATACGACGTCATATATAGTCCATTTAATAGATAAGAAAAGTGAGGTCAGTATACCCATGATAGGTTCCCTAAAGGAAAATATTCTTTTCGTTCATTTTTTGATGCTTCAGTTAGAGATATGCATAGTTCACATGAAGTCTTAAGATTTGATTCTAATAACAAATCTAACATGGAAATTGTTTTGCAGCTGAGAAGTTTCTTGAATCTGTAGAAGGAAATCAGAATTACCCACTGCTGCTTTTAACATTACTGGAGAAATCCCAGGATAATGTTATCAAAGTATGTGCCTCAGTAACATTCAAGAACTATATTAAAAGAAACTGGAGAATTGTAAGTATTCTGTGAATACATAGTTTAATACCCTGCATATTTATAAGATTTCTGTATGCAGTGTTCCTGAAAGATTCAGATACAGATTAAAGATAAAATTAAACAGGACCCTCCTCAACAAAATATTAGCAGGTCAAATCCAAAAATATACTAAAAGTGTAAAAATACACACCATGACCAAGTGGGATTTATCCCAGATATGCAAGTCTCGTTCAACATTCAAAAATTAATGTAATCTATCACATCAGTCAACTGAAAACAATAAATCATGTGATCATATCAATAGGTGCAGAAAAAGCATTTGTCAAAATCCAACACTCATTCATGATAAAAATTCTCAGTAAATTTAAAAATAGATGGGAACTTTCTCGATTTGATAAAGCTACAAAAAACCTATAGCTAACATCATACTTAACGGTGAGAACCTTGAAGCTTTCCCACCGAGATCGGGTACAAAACAAGGATGTCCCTTCTTACCACTCATTTTCAACATTGTTGGAAGTCCTTGATGATGCAGTAAGAAAAGGAAATATACCAATGGGGAAGGAAGACATAAAACTGTCTTTATTCACAGATGACATGATCATCCATGTAGAAAATCCAAAAGAACTGACCGAAGTTAAACAGGATATTTTCCCAAAGTTCCTATTTGTTTAAATCTATATAGATTAAATCAGTTTCGTCACCTAGGTTGCTATAGAGTATGAGACTTGGTTTTAACCTCCATTTTGGTTGAAATTTAACTTTGGTTCCCTGTCTGTTGAAGGGACATTATGTGGGAAGACATAGTCCAAATGAATAATTGAAACAATTTCTATTGTGGACAGGGAGAAATTATATAAAGCTGAAAAACCACATTTTATTTTTATATATATATAAATGTGTAGAATGGAAAATAATTTAGATTTCAAGTTTTTGATAAGAGATTTGTCCTATGTGGGATATGGAAATAATTTCTAATTATAAGGTGAATCCTATTGTGCTGCAAATTTAATGATCAATGTAAAATTATACATTGAGAAGGTATTTTCCCCTACGTTAGCTTATGACAGTAGTTCTCAGTTGGGGGTGATTTTGCCCACCTGGGGATATTTGCAGGCATTTTGGTTGTCACAACAAGAGGTGGGTGGAGTTGCTGGCATCTAGTGGGTGGTTACCAAGGATGCTGCTACCCATCCTACAATGCACAAGAAAGATCCCCACAAGACTCGCCTGACCCAAGATGTCGGTAATGCTGAGGTTGAGGTAGCTCTGAGAGAATTGTTTCCAGTGATAGCAGTATTAATATTTAGAAAGTATCAAAGTTGACAAAAATGATCAGTTTTTCTAAAAAGTCCATTTTAAATCTTAATAAATATTGAGAGTCTTTTTCCTCATTCCATAAAATAATTTAAAAATAGGAAATACGTTTTTAAGTTTGTATAGTCAGGTGTTACCCCATGCAGTGAAGAAGTGACTTGGTGAATTTTAGAATGTTTGAAAATCCATCTCTCTGCTTGGAGACATGATAGCCCTCTCTCTTGATTTGTGAATCGAGTGAGACTTCCAGAATCTCTCTGGATGGTATAGTCCTGGATGCATTCAGACTGGTAATGGTCAAGAAGTTTTCATTGACAAGACCTTTGACTTAAAGTGAGAGTCCAGTTGAAGCTTTTGAAGATGAATTTGGGCTAAATGGCATATATCTCTATTTAACCCTGATCTCTTTAGTTTACATACAGAACTAAGATTCTTAATTGGTGTTAGAGAGTCAGAGAAGCTAATTAATTTGTACATAAAATATTTGCATTTGGGATGGAATGTACATTTTTTCTGCAGCAAAATGCTTTCATCAAATTATTAAAAGAATCTGTGACCCATTTATGTAGAAAGAAGGCCCTACCTTCTCTGTTTTTCTTAGGAAACTGGGAAATGAGAAATGGTTCTATTTTATCTACAAACCCATATAGTCATGGATATGGATTTTATTGTACTTACTCATTTGTGTTTTGCTTTTAGGTTGAAGATGAACCAAACAAAATTTGTGAAGCCGACCGAGTAGCCATTAAAGCCAACATAGTACACTTGATGCTTAGCAGCCCGGAGCAAATTCAGAAGCAGGTAATGTGAGGCTGGGCTTTTTAGGTAGGCGTGTGTGAAGAGCTTTCATCTAATTAGTCTTTTTCCTCTCCCCAGTTAAGTGATGCTATTAGCATTATTGGCAGAGAAGATTTCCCTCAGAAATGGCCTGATTTGTTGACAGAAATGGTGAATCGCTTTCAGAGTGGAGATTTCCATGTTATTAATGGAGTCCTTCGTACAGCACATTCTTTATTTAAAAGGTATTGGTGTATAAATTCGTATTTTAAAAATACTTTTCTTTCAAATGTTTTCACTTATATATATTTTTGTGACTATTGTCATTCCTTTATGATAATCCTAGACTAAGAGCATAAGCCTCTCAGCTCATTATTGTGTTTGTTTCTTTTAAGTAGGATGTTTATTTCATATTGCCCTGTTACTTGTGAAATACCTGGTCTTGCTAACTGTGCTTGGTTCCTTTAAAAAGAAAACCAAGAATTTGCTTTTTACTTCAGAAAGCTGTCTAGCTATAGATTTTTCTCTAATCTGTCCTTGAAGACCTAAAATCAGTTAACAAAAACTTGTTAGTTTACCTGTTTTTAATTTTCTAGATATCGTCATGAATTTAAGTCAAACGAGTTATGGACTGAAATTAAACTTGTTCTGGATGCCTTTGCTTTGCCTTTGACTAACCTATTTAAGGTATGTAATAACATCTTGGTATTTTTTAATTACTTAATATTTTAAATTGCTTGAATGTTTGTATAAATTTTAAGAGATTGCTTTGAAAGCTTATTTGATAGGAAAAAGAAAAAGAAAGCTTATTTTTATAGATAATGTTTAGAGCAGCATTTCTTTTGAAAAATTTCAAACCCACATGGAAATAGAGAGGATGGTATAATGAACTCCCATGTATCGATTACTCAAGTTTAACTGTAACCAGCATTTTGTCCTTAATTAGTTCCCTCCCCTTCATTCTATAGGAATATTTAAAAGCAAATCCCAGGCATCATATTATTTCATTCAGGTATTTGAGTATGTGTCTGTAAAGGAATAGATCCATATTTTGATTTGACTGGTTATGGACTTTAGTTAATTTATGTATTTGTACATCGTCTTATAGTACATAGGCTACTTCCCTAAATGTGTTCTTCATTTTCTGAGAATCCTTTAAGATTGAAAGAGAAGTGCTGTTAACTTTTTTTCCTGGATGAGGAAAGAGGACAGTATCACATAGCTAATAAAAAAAAGAGAGCCAGGCCTGAAACCTAGTTTTACTGCCTTGAGAAAAGCCATTCATTTACTGTTTCCAGAAAGGAAAGTTGTTGAAAGTTGATATTCACAAATTGCTAAATTTCAGAGTATGCACAGGATTTTTCACGGTTGGGATATCAGACTGATAGTACATTTTTGTTTTTAAAAATAAAATTGGACAAAATGGGGTCAGTTTTTTTCCACCTACTGGATTGGCAAAGTTTTTTATTTCTTTTTAATAACATAAACAGTTTTAACGAGAGTTCAGTGAAATGAACACTCTCATGTCCTGTCCACTGGATTATAAATGGTAGTAGCCTTCTGGAGTTTGACATTTTAATTAAGAAAACCTTAATGTTCGTATTTCCTAACTCTAGGATATAGGAAGCAACATTTGTTGAATATCTTTTACATAGTGGGTGTGCGCAAATTACTAGGACCTTTTATGTATATTTTCTCATTTGATTCTCATATTCTCTATGAGGTAGGCATATTCTTTTATTACAGCTGAGGATGTTGAGGCTCAGTAAAACAACGAGCTCAAACTCATGCTCATTGTGAGTAACAGAGTCTGGGTTATATCCAGGTCTGTCTGGCTTCCAAAACCCATGCTCATAGCATAGCATCAGTAATACACTTTTTGAATCTCAAACTCGGAGAACTAGAGGTGTGCACAAAGTTTTTTTGCAGATAGAATAATGAACAATTGGAAACAACCTAAATGTCAGGTGACAAGGGAATTATTTAATGAGTGCATATAGAGACAGTTTTGTGTAATATATTTTTATATATGCACAGAGGAGGGTAGAAGGATCTAGACCAAAACACTAATATTGGTCTTGTCAGTAGTGCTATTATGGACAATTTAAAAATAGATACTTTAACATATTTTTCAAAAGTCTTAAATGACTGTGCCCTACTATTTAAAAGCCAAATTTTGGAGAAGACAGATAAGTAGTTTCAGCCCAGTGCAAGGCTCTTTCACTAAGGTTTACAATCCACTAAATCCATGTTCCTAAATTCCTTTCCAAGGCCACTATTGAACTCTGCAGCACCCATGCAAATGATGCCTCTGCCCTGAAGATTCTTTTTTCTTCCCTGATCCTAATCTCAAAACTATTCTACAGTTTAAACTTTCAGGTAAATTTTTGTTTTGTTTCTCACCTTTGATTCTTATTCTTTGATGTCAAATATAAAGTTTTTCCACTTGATAAAGACTTCTTTGCTAGCAGTGATTATTTTTTTATCTAAAAGAAGACATCAGTTTTTTTCTTTTCCCCCCATTCTTTATCTACAAATTGTGTTCTGCATTACAGTAGTTCCTAGAGATGCTAGTGGGTGGATGTTTCTTGGGGGAAAGTAGCATTCTGTTAGTCTAGTAAGTTAGGCTAACCTCATCTCGTAAATCACTCTTGGGGTGTTACCCTGTGTTCTACTTTATTGAAGACACAAAGATCACATTCTCAGGCCTTCCTCTTTTGTTCATTTAAATGGGTATTAACACTGGGGCAACCATGTTTTGATTAGAGGCCTCTGACTAGCTTATTCAGAAAGGCTTTTAATGGAAGCATATCTGGGAGACCAAAGGCTAAAGAAGCAGATTAGGGAAGCTGTATGAACTAGTGACATTTCTGAGGAAGCACAGCCACAGTCTTATAGCAGAAAATGCCTGGTCACCCACTCTGTTGCTACTGAGAGGTAGTGGCCTCCAATCATTCTTTCTGTTCTTGAGTCATTACTTTGACTTAGGAACGTGAGGAGAGTCTTATTGGTACAAATTACTATACTGAGATGCTAGAGGAAGGACCTGGCCTTTTTGTTGCTCATAGCCAGAGCCAAGAAACTGGACTTAATCTTTACAACATGGCTGTACTCACAGTGGTAGGGAGAGCATTCCTCAGAAGGAATAGGGAGAATGAATGGGAGAGACAGCCCAAAACAGCATGCCTTCATCAGTGTTCAGCTGGACAGCATTTTGAGAAGTTCTTGATAGCACTATTTTTGTTTATACCTTCTTTAGAAATGCTTCCTAGAAGTCAAGTAGAAGGAGGTGCTTAATAACATGTTAGTCAGGGAAACCAAAGGAAGGGGGCATAATCTTTACCTTTGGGGGCTTATCCCTCATTAAGAAGGCGGTGCTGTGCCACAGGAATTCGGTAACTGCACAAGACAGTAAGCCTGACTTGGTGGTCATCTTACAGTAATAAATGCAGTAGTTCAGAAAGGAAAAGGAATGTATTGGTAAACACTGAGTTGTGAGGAAAGTCTTCAGTCGTAGCTGGACCCTGAAGGAATAAGTAGATTCAGATTGGGACAGGAAATAGAGGTGGCCTCATTTATGGTTGAAACCTTACAGAGACAGAATGATTTACTCAGCTACCAGACCTAGTTGGAGCCGAGAATTCTTGCCAGAATAGGTAATGGTTGGCTCAGCTGAGAAGTGTGGGCTTGAGTCTAAGCATGTGGAAAATACTGTGTGTGGTGGGGAAAACTTTTTAAAATAGAATACTTAATTATTTCTACCAAAAGTCTCAAGGCAGCATTTATTCTTCAGGATCTCCCTGAATTTTTTGAAGATAATATGGAAACTTGGATGAACAATTTTCATACCCTCTTGACGTTAGATAATAAACTTCTACAAACTGATGTAAGTATTGTTTAAAATAGTTTCCAAGTAGGCTTTTTTTTAAATTAAGGACTTGAAATATAATGTTAAATGTCAATTGTATCTCAATTTTTTATAATGTTAAAAAAAATTATTTGAGTACTCTCTGAAAACATTGCAAAGAGGATAGACTTCAAAAAACGTTATTTGAGAACATTTAGCATTCTAATTCCTTAAAAATTATTTAATCTTGCATTGTTAATAGGTTGAATCCTAAGAATGCAAGTAATAATTGATTTTGTAGGATATTCTACGTTTGGTTGTTTGTAACATGCAGAATTACTCTTATGGGCCTCACTTAAAGTCACAATTTACGGATAAGGCTGTTTTATTACATTATTGAAAGTAAGACCTCAAGTATTCACATTGTGAACATTTTATGAAATGAAAAATTACTTTTATGAAAATCCATTTTTTGAAATAATTTTATGAAATGAAAATTAAACCTCTATGATAGTAGCCTCTTTTGAAAAAGTCATGTACAGTGTGGGAAGGAGGGGACATGTTGAAAGTTGGTAATGTGTAAAAGTTTCTGATCTGGGTTTTGTAATACATACTTTTCAACATACAGCACTTATTCTGTCTTATTCATTTGCTTGTTTATTAATATATTTATGATTTACCTTTTAAACAAAAACTTTAAAATATTAAGAATACTTCAACACCAGATAAAATAAAAATTAGAATTGGTGGTTCAAATCTGTTTGGGGGGTGGGGTGTAGAGAATCATTTCTTTGGGGGTACAGCAGATTTTGTCTCTGAGATTTACAAGCAACAAAAAGCAACCAAAAAAGATTGGGTTTCCATAACATAATTCTTGCAGTTCACTAGGGAAAAAACACTCCCTCAGAAAACAGCTTGTCTTTACACTTAAGTCTAAAAAGAAATTCTCCACATGGGGTTCTTAAGGGTGCTGTCTGCCCATTTAACCACGTTCTACCCTGTGTCATCCACCTGTGCAGCGGCCCTTATATTTATGCCTTGAAGGAACTATTAGGGAGTTCTTTTTTATCTTTACTCAATTTGAGTTCTTTTGCACATAACTCAAAAGGCATTTGTGGGATGTTGTTACATATAGTTAGGATAATTATATCCATCATTGCTGTGGTTTGGAGTGGAGCTGGCAAACTATTCCTGTAAAGATCCAGGTAGGAAATATATTTGGCCTTGTAGGCTGTACACGCAGTACTATAAATTACATCAATGAAAACAAGGAATGATGGTGGCTGGGCTTTAATAAAACTTTACTTCAGAAATTTTTTGGCAGCTGGTTGACCCCTGCTTTAGATTGTTTAATATGTACATATTTTTAGATTGTTTAATACTTTATAACCAAAATATTTTTTGTGAGAATGTTACAGCATTACTTTATTGGAGGGAGGACACATTTTAAAATATTTGAAAGGAGAACCTTCGGGGAGATAGCAAGGCAATTAACCATGTTACAAAGGAAAGTGAGATGTGATCTTTATCATTCAGGTTTCTGGAGGATATATTATTTTAGTGTAATATGTATTTTATAATTCAACAACCAGAAGAAAAGCCTTTATTTAACTTGAAAACTTTTGAGAACTGCTTTCATTAATAAATAAGAAGTATTTCATCTTTTATTTATTTGAAATACCAGGCGAATAAATTGGCAGTGGCATAAATGTAGTTTACAGCACTTAGCTTGGGATATAAATTTTTTTTAAAGAGTTCATTCAGGAATTTCAGCTTCTCTCCCTATTTGTGGTAGCGTTGAAGTTGTATGTTTTGAGTTTTCCATTTTCTCTTATGTGAGGATGAAGAGGAAGCAGGCTTATTGGAGCTCTTAAAATCCCAGATTTGTGATAATGCTGCACTCTATGCACAAAAATATGATGAAGAATTTCAGCGGTACCTGCCTCGTTTTGTCACAGCCATCTGGAATTTACTAGTTACAACAGGTCAAGAGGTTAAATATGACTTGGTAAGATGATGGTGGAGATAAATAATTAAGACATTCCCTCCCCACCTCCCCCCCGCCCCTCCCGAAAAAATAAACAATTTGGTTTACTTTTTAAAATATGCCTATTTTATGTTTTATTGCAGTTGGTAAGTAATGCAATTCAGTTTCTGGCTTCGGTTTGTGAGAGACCTCACTATAAGAATCTGTTTGAGGACCAGAACACGCTGACAAGCATCTGTGAAAAGGTTATTGTGCCTAACATGGAATTTAGAGGTAATTGTCGCAAGGTGTAGATCTTTTTTAGGAGATTAATTAGAAGCTTGTTTTTTTTAAAGAGTATGTTAGTATATATTTAATAATTTAAAATTTAAAAAATTTAATAAGTCTTTTTCCTGTTGCTTTTTGCAACATATTCAGTCTAAGTTTTGTTTGTTTAGTGTTTCACGGGGCAAAAGCTGTTTTTAAATAGTTGTCTTGAGACTAGCAGTGGTTGATAACTTTTAAAGACAGAGTTGAAGCCCATTTAGTTTTTGCTTAAGGTTAAGAGCCCTTAGAGTCTGTATTTGTATACAAAATGTCTTCCTTACAGTTGGAAAGAGTGGGTAGTAGATGGGAAGGAATTGTGTATCAGAGCAGTCATTGGATCATTCAGTCTGGGACAGAATGAGGAGTAAAGGACAGCGTCACACGGGGTTTTATTTCCTTTTGTGTTTCTATAAAACTATTTAAAGGAGAGGTCTTTATTCTGATACTGTGTGTCCTGCTTGTTTTGGTGTTAAAATGACTTGTACTAAATATGGTGATTGCAGCTACTAGGTCATTTGTTTGTTTAATGTCCTTATCTAGCAAAATAAAAAGTTGGTATTGCTAGACTGGTCACCAGTACTTTTGAAAGTTGTTGGTGAAGTCCAGTTCTGAGGACGCTCGCGCTGGAGCAAGCGAGCCTGTGTCAGCTGTGTGCGTGACCTGCTAGACGGCCTTTCCGGGCAGCACTTGCTGCCCTAAGTAATGGTTAAGAGAATGTGAAGCAGTTATTCGTTAGGAAAGAACACTTGGCTGTAGAACTTGGCAATTCCGCATACTCTTCTGCGTGCTCAGCTGTAAAAGTAGAATGACTTGTCATGTCTTTGAAGAGGTGATCTGAAATGTCGTCTCTTTGTAGCTGCTGACGAAGAAGCCTTTGAAGATAATTCTGAGGAGTACATAAGAAGAGATTTGGAAGGATCTGGTATGTATTTTGGTTTTTAGCTGTCAGTCTCTCAGCAAGCCAGTTTTAAAGTTGCTCTTTTTCTAATGAATAGAGGGAGGTGGGGGAGTTTAACTTGTACATAGTAAAAAGTAGCTCTTATATGAGCTGTATCAAAAGTTGAATCATTTCTCTTCTCTTTTTTGTATACTTAGTGTTGATGATACTACTGTTACCTTTTAGGTTCACTCTCAGTGTATGTTTGGGGGGATGTTCTTTTCATTCTTTTTGTTGCTGATGGCTGTCAGATGGCAATTTGTTTTCTTATAAACTTGATGAGTTGGTTGGTGGTGGTTTCTTCCTCCCCTGATATATTTCCGTTTGATTTTATAGATATTGATACTAGACGCAGGGCTGCTTGTGATCTAGTACGAGGATTATGCAAGTTTTTTGAGGGACCCGTGACAGGAATCTTCTCTGGTTATGTTAATTCCATGCTGCAGGAATATGCAAAAAATCCATCTGTCAACTGGAAACACAAAGATGCAGCCATTTACCTAGTGACATCTTTGGCATCAAAAGCTCAAACACAGAAGGTGAATCTTTTCAGCGTAGTTTTGTTTCTAAAACAGACTTGTCGGTAACTGCAGAAGTCACAAAGAAGTAATAATATTTCTGATGATTCAGCCTACTCTGCTAGGTAATGTGTTAGCTCTGATCAGAATTCATAGCGTCTCCACAGATGACTTTATGTTGCTGTATTAAGCACTGAAGTTTCTTATGGACCAAAAAATTGGACAGATGCTGCACTTGTTCCCTTAGCTGAGACTCAATGTATAAAACATGCTAAACTTAAATTTAGTTTATCTTGAATTTAGAGAAATTTCTTTATTATGTATTAAAATACTCTCATTTTATATGTAAGCAGTTAATATTTTGAAGTGTTCATCCCCATTTTTAACCTGATTTTCTAAATTTGCCTAAATTTCCAATGTGGTAGATGCATACAGATACTTCATGTTATTTCACTGTTTTTGAATTTGTTTTTTAGCATGGAATTACACAAGCGAATGAACTTGTAAACCTGACTGAGTTCTTTGTGAATCACATTCTCCCTGATTTAAAATCAGCTAATGGTGAGTTTTGTAAAATGTCTTTAATACAGCTTAGACTGTATATCTGCAATTTTTATTTGTATCGTTACCTTAAACTACAAAATGAGTAACATCATGGCAAGAGTCATGATGCAGGCTCTGTGTCACCATGATGCTAAAAACACTGGCCCCTGTCCATGTTGTGGTTACTTGTTTTATTGAATAAAATCTCAAATGGTTTCCCCAGATCTTGCCAAGGTGAAATTCACTTTCTGTAAGGAAAATGTTGCTTATATAGAGGGAAAATAGGAACAAGTAAGACTAAATTGTAACCCAGCTTTGTTAGCCTAGTACATAACTATACATATAAAACTGTGTATGTGTCTGTGTGTGTGTGTGTGAGTACACATTAATGTATTAGAAGTTATACTTTGGTTTTTGTTTTCCTTCTCATTTAAAATACGAACTCGTAAAAACTGAAGTAAATTTAAAGTACTTGAAACTAATAGATATTAAGGGTAATTTCATGTTTTATGAAAGTATGTCAATCAAGATTTTATATATATTCTTCTTTTTAAAACTTTGTGGAAAATTTAAATACACTAAAAGGTAGGGATAATATTGTAAAGAACATTCATGTTACTGTCATTCAGCTTCAAGAATATTTAACAATTGGCCAGTATTCTATCCCTTTCACTAACTTATTTCCCACCACTAGAACAATCTCAACCAGAGACACATGCTTTTGATTCAGAATAGTTTTAATTCTGGAAAAAGATACCATCATTAGTTCATGGTCCAGATTATGTTTATTCAGTTACATAAGTAACATGTTGATTTGTAGTGAAACTTAAAAGTAAGGGGAAAAAAATAAAATTACTTACAGTCTTACCAGAATTAATAACTGTGTAGTAATCATTACATAATTAACTAAGCTTCAATTATTTGACATTTTGTTTACCCAAAATCATGTTTTAAAAATCTGATAATGTTGTCACCATATTGGGAGTAATAGTCTTAGCACTTAAATAACTGTGACTTTTTATTTTTTTAATAGTGAATGAATTTCCTGTTCTTAAAGCTGATGGTATCAAATACATTATGATTTTTAGGAATCAAGTAAGTAGCTTTTCATTATATGTTATATGCCACTTAATTGCTTAAGAGCTTTATTGTATACCAGCTTCTTTTCCCTTCTGTGCAGTCATATTTAATATCCACATCTAACAAAATTAACAATAACTCCGTAAGAACTTAGGGTTCCAGACCATGCTTAGTTTTCCTCAGTTTCTTAAAAATACTGTTTTACAGTGACCAAAAAATTTTCAGGTCCAAACAAGGTCTATACATTGCTTATGGTTGATTATATCTCATGTCTCTTAATTTACAACAGAGAGGTCCTTCTCTTCTTAACGCTTATTATCTTTTGGAGAAAGCAGTAATTTATCTTGTAGAGTTTCTGATTCTACTTTTAGCTAATTGCATCCTCAGTCTCAATGGTATAGTATGTCTTGTTCCTCTGTTCCCTGTATTTCTAAATTGGTTAATCTGAAGGGGTTAATTAGATTTTTTATTCCAGGTGGGAGAGGTGGGAAGCAAGAATTTGTCGTGGGTGTATTTTGTTTCATTAGGACACATACACAGACACATACTTTCAGTGATTTTAAAAGTGATCATTGACATATTTTTTAATTTGAGATATAGGTAACCTAATATAAAATTCACCATTTTAAAATGTATACTTACACGGTTTTCAGTATGTTCATTCTTTTGTGCAACTCCCACTACTGTCTTGTAGATTAATTACCAATCTGAAGGAAAAACAGCATAAACTGTTTGTATGTTTTTCCCCTTTATCACTTCAGAGTAATGAGTTTAGTGCCTTACAAGCTTCCGGGTCACTCCTGAGGGCCTTCTGATGCTCTGGTTGTTCCATCTTTGGCCAGCTGGGGCTGCATTATGTAGGTTCCTGTGTCCTCTTGACATAAACTTAGTAGCCTTTAACAACTTCCCTTCTTTCCTATGTGACAGAATATTTCAGGTTCGTCTTGAACATTTCCTGCCCCAGGCCTGAATTAGCTACCCTTTAAAGGTTCATATATTTCCCAAATATTTTGAACCCTGAATAATTTGTGGGTCCTGAAGTATTTAAGTTAATTTCGAGCATAAATCTCCTTTATCAAACTTAATCTTCGTATCATTCCCTATTTTGATCAATCATACCCAGGCTCCCACCAACTGCAGCACCGTGGACCGCAGAAAGGAAAACAGATCCACACCTGGGGCTGTTCTTCATGCAGGAGTACTCTGTTCTTATATTGGAAATACAGGGGGCAGCTTTAAATCACCGACTCAGCCATTTAGTTACTGTCTGTAACAGCCTCCCCACAGTGAGGACAGATAAATTCTGTCAGTTCTACCCACTTCAGGACACAATACCATCTTAACAGTTTCCTGAAATGGAGAAAGAGTTTAGCTCCCATTTTACTATTTGTCAAGTACAATGTTAATGCTTGTGATGGAATCCCACCTCATTTAACTTACATACATTCAGTTATTGGGCCTCAGCAAGGAGAATGAAAGAAAAATTCCACCCCCTCATGCTTGTCACTGAGCAGACACTTACTAGAGAGGGGAGACTCCAATCTGCTGTTCCCTCAGTGAGTCTCAGTTCCTTCAGCTCTCTCTTTTCTTAAAAATTGATATGTAATTGACATACTGTGTTAGTTTCAGATGTACAGCATGATGATTTATATTTGTATATGTTGTGAAAAGATCACAGTAAATCTAGTTAACGTCCATCACCATACATAGTCACAGAATGTTTTTCTTATCATGAGAGAAGTTGAGATCTACTCTCAGCAGCTTTTAAATATGCTGTATGGTGTTAACTAGTACATTGCATCCCCACAACTTATTTTATAACAAGAAGTTTGTACCTTTTGACCCCCATCATGCATTTCACTCACTCCCGACCTTTGGCAACCATCAATCTGTTCTCTGTATCTAGGGGTTCATTTTTTTGTTTTTTTAAGTTTCACATGTGAGAGTATATGGTATTTATCTTTCTCTATTTCACTTAGTATAATGCCCTCAAGGTCCATACATGTTGTTGCAAATGGCAAGATTTCTCTTTTTATAACTGAAAAATTGTGTGTGTGTCTGTGTGTGTGTGTGTGTATACACACACCACATTTTCTTAATCCATTCATTGACTGATGGACACATAAGTTGTTTCCAAGTCTTGGCCATTGTTAATGCTGCTGTAAACATGAGGATGTGGATATCTTTTTGAGTTAGTATTTTTGTCTCCTTTGGTTAAATAGCCAGAAATGGAATAGCTGGATCATGTGGTAGTTCTGTTTTCTAATTTTTTGAGAGACCTCCATACTTCTTTCCACAGTGGCTATTATCAGCGTACATTTCCACCTACAGACACCAGGGTTTCCTTTTCTCACATCCTTGCCAACACTTGTTATTTCTTGTCTTGTGATAACAGCCCTTCTAACAGGTGTGAGGCAATAGATATCTTGTGGTTTTGATTTACATTCCCCTGACAATTGGTGATGTTGAGCACCTTTTCATGTGCCTGTAGCCATCTCTGTGTCTTCTTTGGGAAAATGTCTGTTCAGCTCCTCTGCCTATTTTTTAATTGGATTACTTTCTGCTATCTAGTCATATGATCCTTCTGATTCTTAACACTGTAAGTCACTGTAATTTTAGTGACAGAAAACAAAACATGCACAGTCCATCTTACTTCCTCCAACACCACCACCAAATTACACTGCAGCCATCTTGCAAATTATTTTAAACACAAAAGCAAAAATAGAGAATAATACAGTGATACTCACATAACCAGCACAAACCTTAACTCCAGGCTGTAATGACTGAAACTACACACACAGTGGCGGCACCCAGGGCGTTCTCAGCCTATTTCCATTCTAGTTCCTCTTTCTCCCCAGAGGTAATGAATGAATTCAGTGTGGTTTATACCCATATAAGTGACTGTTTATGGTTTTACACATATTTGTTTCTACAAAAATTCTATAGTATTATATAGGCTTAAAATTTTAATTGATACCATGCTATAGGTATTAGTTTACACATTTAGTTTTCTTTTGTGCTTAACACTGTTTTTAGTAGATGTGTTATAGTTCATTTTTAATAGCTGTGTAGTATTCCATTATGAGAATATGCTACAGTTTATTTCCTATGGATGATCCTTTAATTTCTTGATTTTATAACTTTTATGTGTCTTTACATGCAACCTTGTGAAGCTGTTCTGTTTTAAAGACTAGTGGATGTTCTAAAGTTGTAGAGGTTTTTAGTAAAGATTACTATGGTTACGTCTGTGCCCCCCCCCTTTTTTTAAGAAGGTGAAAATGAGGCACAAAGAGCTTGAATGATTTTTCTAAGAAATACCTGCCAGGGAAAAGTATAGTTCTTAAGATTAATAAAATCAGTCTGCTTCTCCATGATATTAAATGTTTTAGGGCATGTTCACTTATCTACAAGATTTTACCCCAATCATAGCTTTATGCTCAGAGAAGGAGAATTGGAAAATTGGATGTGAACTGAACCACCATGTGGAGGTAGAAGTTTTGATTTCTCACCTGTATCATCTCCATTGTAATAGCTGGAAACACACACTTTTTAGAATCAGCAAATCCTCCTCTTCCAGTTGGCTGATACTTACATGATAGCATCAGTGAGTTAGAGCATGTATATCACTATTTTTTTCCAGGTACCAAAAGAGCACCTTTTACTCTCTATTCCTCTCTTGATTAATCATCTTCAAGCTGAAAGTATTGTTGTTCATACTTACGCAGCACATGCTCTGGAGAGACTGTTTACTATGAGAGGCCCAAACAACGCCACCCTGTAAGTATTTGATTCTGTGTATTTTTTCATCTCAGGGTGGAGACCATTCTGTACTGTTTAGAGATACCTGGATATGTTCATAATTTCATTCGTAGTTAGAAAAATAAATGTGTACATTTTATTCATTTATACTGTGTCTCATTCCAGAAGGATTTGAGACCACATGCCAGAATAGATACATTATGACAGTAACGTTATACAGAGGAAACTGGAGCAAAGGGAAATAATGGGGGTGTGAGGTTTAACACAGTCATCCAGAGGCATCTCAGAAGTGGGCCTCCCTTAAGAGAAAACTTGTAGAGCGTTCTTAGCAACACACTGCCCCCGAGCTACTTTCCCTGGCCGTGTGTGTAACCTTACTCAGCGCTGAGACTGACACAGTGAGCGAGAGCAATTCTCCAGGGTCCAAAGTGGTAGCTCCTCTGGCCCGATCCAAGGATGAGATGCAGTGGGGGACAGTCTGCCTGTCTTTCAGGCCATTCTTCAGCAGTGTTATTTCTTGAAACTGAGCTTTGGGTAAGAGAAAGAAAACATTCTAGGTTCTTTTCTTCATCAAGAACTTGAAGTACCGATATGCTCAGTGGCCAGTTAAGGGTTGAAAGGATATCCTTTGAGATGAGTCAAGAGAGTACTTGTCTTCAGGCCTGGAATTTATACAGAAAACAGTTCTGAACCTGCTCCATCTTGAGGAAGACTAGGTGGCTGAAAATCTGAGTTCTGTTCTCGATGGTGACGGATGCGAACCAAGAGGGACCTGAACAGCTTTCGATGACGTTGGGTTTGCCTGTTTGGGGCTTGTTTAATTGTGTTTGTTCCCATGTGCCTTCTTAGGAGCTTAACGTGAACACATGTCAAAGAATTCTGAGCTGTGTGCTGATTGTCAGTGGTGGGGAACAGCTCGCTTTTGTAACAAGTGTGATTTTTAATAGTTGCCAAAGGTATTCCTAAGTGACAAGCTCAGGAGTTGGCAGTGACTGAAAGCTGTTTTTTCATCTATAGCTTTACAGCTGCAGAAATCGCACCGTTTGTTGAGATTCTGCTAACAAACCTTTTCAAAGCTCTCACACTTCCTGGCTCTTCAGAAAATGAATATATTATGAAAGGTAGGCCGTTTCCCTGCTGTACAGACCCTGAGTATCTAATCTCGGATTACAGGGCTTTAGTCTATGAACCAGATACTGTTTGTCAAGAATTTGGTAGGTTTAGATATTTTTAAATGAAAAATACTGTTTTGTTTACTGTTAACAGTGTTTTCAGGGGGAAAAAATGTTAACTCAATATAGAAATCTTATTAAAGAAAAGGTAGCAGATTCCTTTTTACTTTTTCTAGGTTGAATTTCTTGAGGGCATAGATGAGCTCAGACAACATTTATTGACAGCGTGCTCTGCTAGGTCTTGGTGTGAAACCTGGGTATATCTGGTAGACCCCACACAGATCTTGCCTTCGTAGACATACTGCCAAGAACATAGGCAGCTGTGACCACCTGCCAGATGTTACATTAGTAGAGTGTCTTGGTAACAGTTCTCAGACAATCTTACTCTTATTCACGGTTATATTCCAAGATTCTAACACAGTGTCCGACTCATAGGAAATGCTTTTCAGAGAAACTGTCCTTGATGCTTCTGGCTTCAGTAAGGATCCCTGGGGTGTGGGTGTATGTGTGTGTGTATCTAGGTGAGTATTTGTGTGTGTGTTTTTACTGCTAATCTGGTCTTCATTGCTGTGTTTCTAGGGTATGCAAGAGCACCCAGTATGTAAAATCTCAATAAATACTGTTGTATGAGTGGATGATAAGATTCTGTGCCAGCCCAGGGGAGGGGCACTGATCCATCCTATAACCCTTCGCTTTCTCTAAGAAGTGATGTCTAAGCTGAGACGAAGGATAGGTAGCTGCTAGCTAGTTGGAGGGTGAGTCTGGCATCACTGCAAAGTTTAGGAGGCGAGAGAGGATAACTTTCTATCCCATATGCCTGGCATATAGTAGGCTCTCTACTTAGTAAACAACAGTTCTGTTTGTACAAAAACAATTACACATTTTAGCTTAATAATATATTTATGCCCCATGCCAAATGTTTTTAGACATCTATTAATGAGCAGTTAATTTTGCAGTCACGTCAATATTTTTAATGTCCCTTAAGCCTTCTGGAAATAATTTTTCCCAGCAAAATTTTCTTGCCAATCCTTGGCCTAATTTTAAAAGGAAGGGAAATTTAGATAATTTTTAAATGGAGAGAACTATGTAGGGGTTGTTCAAGGGTCTTAAAATTTTAGTTGATGAATCAGTTGACTTTTTTCCCCCCAATCACTGTTTTGTTCTGAAGTTTAACTAAACTTTGTTTTTGTTTTTTTGTTTTCCAGCTATCATGAGAAGTTTCTCCCTCCTCCAAGAAGCCATAATCCCCTACATCCCTACGCTTATCACTCAGCTTACACAGAAGCTGCTAGCTGTTAGTAAGGTAACAGAACCAGTTTTGAAAGTGTAGTTGCTTTTTAACCTAAATGCTCCAAACTTCGAGCCTCAGAACTCCCTGGCAATATGTTGGACAAGGAAAGATCTTCCTGACCAACAGCGTATCATTCTGAAAGTGTGGGGATGACGCTAGCTTGGAGACATGGCATCACTCATCTTTAAGTGTAGGCTCAGAAACTTTGACATTTTTGTTCTCATTTTAAAAAGTAACATGTTCTTTGAAGGAAATTGAGAAAGTACAAATGATTTGAAATGCTCTTAGATGGAAGAAGTAGGTTTTGTACCAAATGGACACAGAGGCTATTCAGAGACGTCTGTGAAAAATGACAGCTGAAGTCCCTTGTGCCTGGTCTTCCTTATTCCCCCAAATAAAGTTCACTCCTTTGATTAGAAATTTTACAGATATTTTGATCCATATTTAAATATTAATACCAAGTTTTAGAAAAAAAATCAGTTTAAGGCCAACAGAATTCCTTTGTAGATGCTTATTTTTAATTACTCTATATAAAAAAGAGATGAATTCATTAGGAAGGATCAGAGGGACTTTGAGAACAGTGATCATTTTTTCACTGAGTTCTAGATAAGGGTCTTGGGCCTACTTGGGTTTTGGGGAATTGAGAAAAAAGAGAAGCAGGGTCCCTTTGCTTTCACCTGCCCCCACATATACACACAATCTGAGTTCATCACTCTATGTGGTAGCCTTCCAAGGATTTTGTTTAGAAAAAGAAAATTGAAAACAGCTGATATGAAGGATCATCACTGTGTAGTTAGAGACGTATTGAGGCCACGAGGTCCTACACGAGGCTAGTGGCAGAGTCAGCCTGTGTCCCTGCTGGTTTCTTCCCCACTGTCCGCGTCAGCCCAGGAGAGCACGCGGGTTTGAGAAGGTCCCTTACAAGCGCTGGGAGCCGAGGCTTGTGTAGTCACCTCCTGGTGACCCTGAAGTATTTTTTCATAAGTCGGCTTTTGCCCATTTAAAAAAATCCAGACAAACAGGCATTAACAAGTATTTTCTGAAGTTTAAAGTCAATACAAAATTTTAACATGAATGTAGGCTTTTTAAGTATAATTGGTATTTTTTCTTAATACTGATTTTTAAAAAGATGGAATCTCTTTTAATGTTTTTAGTAAGGTTAGATGTGTTTTAGATTCTTTCTAGTAGTCACTTGGATTATTAGGGTGATAAGCTTTTTTTTTTTTAAATTTCAGAACCCAAGCAAACCTCACTTTAACCACTATATGTTTGAAGCAATATGTTTATCCATAAGAATTACTTGCAAATCTAACCCTGCCGCTGTTGTGAATTTTGAGGAGGCTTTGTTTCTGGTGTTCACAGAAATTTTACAAAATGATGTACAAGGTAAACAAGTTATTTTCCTTCTTGTTGAATAAAATTATTAAAGTGATAAAATGCAGTCCGCCTAAGAGATACGTGCCTTTTGTGTCAGAGCCGTTAATTCTGAAGCTGACAGCTGGCTTTACTTTTATCTACAGAATTTATTCCATATGTCTTTCAAGTGATGTCTTTGCTTCTGGAAACACACAAAAATGATATCCCGTCTTCCTATATGGCCTTATTTCCTCATCTCCTTCAGCCAGTACTTTGGGAAAGAACAGGAAATATTCCTGCCCTAGTGAGGCTTCTCCAGGCATTCTTAGAGCGCGGTTCAAATACAATAGCAAGTGCTGCTGCCGACAAAATTGTGAGTCACGTTTACTGTCACGTAACTGATTTTCTAAAGTAGGAATGGCGGATGTTTTTTAATTTAAAAAAATTAAAATTTCTTTAAAATTAATAAAAAGGGAATTAATTAGTAGAAATATTAACCTATGTTTTATTAGAACTAGTTATCCTTTAGTTATTTATCTCTATGATGGGAAATTTGAAAAAAACCAAATAGGTTAATTTCAAGAACTTAACTTGAAGGGCTTATTGTGGTGGGATTTTGTTTTCCTCTACACTTCAGAAGTGAGAAATAAAGAGTAAGTGCTATTTAGATTATTACAGCTTGCACCTTTTCCCAATATATATTGCCTGCTAAACTTCTGCGACAATTAACCCTTGCCTCATTAACTAATTATTATTTGATTTAATTCGTTGTAGCCTGGGTTATTAGGTGTCTTCCAGAAGCTGATTGCATCCAAAGCCAATGACCACCAAGGTTTTTATCTTCTAAATAGTATAATAGAGCATATGCCTCCGTGAGTATGAATGCAAGCTCATTGTACATGTAGTTGAGGATTCTATGAGATACTAGAAAAATGCTGAGTTATACTATTGGTTTTATTCAATTCTCTAGTGAGTCAGTTGACCAGTACAGGAAGCAAATCTTCATCCTACTATTCCAAAGACTTCAGAATTCCAAAACAACAAAGTTTATCAAGAGTAAGTAAAATATTTTTAGTGTTCCTACAGAAATAAGAAAAGTGGCTAAAACCCTTAGACTTCATGCTTACATATAAACTTTTCTATCAGTTATAAGTTTTATATATGAAATATTTTAAGATGGTTGTATTCTCCCAACACTGAATGTTTCAATATATTGTGTTCCAAAGGTTAGTAAGTTTAAATATCATAACATTTTTTATAGATTATAAAGAAATATAAATCAGAGATTGTATATAAAGACTTATGACTGAACTATAAAGGCAGAAATTCTCTATGTTAAATTGTATTAAAAGGCCAGTATTGATGCCAGAGTTAGTCATTGAGTTTTGATGTTTATGAATGTTTCATTTGGCAGGCTTTCACTAAATTTCTTATTAAGTGCAGTGAGTCCTCTGTGTTGATACTCCCCATCTCTTTCCAACAGGTTTCTTAGTCTTTATTAATTTGTACTGCATAAAATATGGGGCGTTAGCACTGCAGGAAATATTTGATGGTATACAACCAAAGTAAGTATGTTTTTATTTTTCTATTTTGAAAAGCAAAAAAAAAGAAAGGACTCTTAGCACAAACCAGTATCACTATTTTATAGATGATTTTATAGCTCTTGAATCAGTGATAGTATCGTCATGGTTTTCAAAATGTTCTTGGGGAGCTGGGTTGTAAAGAAGAAATACTGCAGACATTTGCCTAGTTGCCAGAAGTACCCTGTACCCCCACCCCTGCCCCTGGCATTTCTCTGCAGCCTGTGTTCGTGTTACGTTAGATGGCTGGCATTGTCTCTGGGAGCCTGCCTCTGAGAAGGCCAACAGTGTAATTTTTCAAATGAGAAAAGTTTAGAGCAGTAAAACTTTTTATTTTTGACTTAATTTCATATATATGCCTAAGAATGTAGCTCGGCAGCGTTTCTGGTTTAGTAGGAAAAAGAATGACGTAAAGAATGATAGAGAACAACTCCTTGGAGAAAAACCTCAGTTTAGGTCTCTCTGTATGTTTGGATCCAAAAAATTCCAGACTGACTGAAATGTAAAAATTGTATTAACCTGAAAGCTACCAGAAAATACGGTTTCCAGCTTTAGAAGATCATGATGAAACCAGCAGTTTTATGCAGTGCTAGTGGGTGCCTGAATTGACATGGTCTTTCTCAAGGGTAGGAAATACACACTTGTAATTTAGAGCATCCAATGTCCATGCTCTTTGATAGCTGCTGTTTCCACTTCAAAGAATGTAATAAATTCTTAATGAAATAATGGAAGTATAAACTGAGAATTTTACATCATTTAGAATTATGAAAAACTACTTCTGTGATGTTTGCAACAATAGTCATTGGTCAGATCATTTTTTTTTAATTCAGCCATTAACATTTACATACTTAAAGGTATGAAAGCATAGAAAGTTGAGAAGTTTATAATCCAAAAATGTTAAAACTGGTAATTGCTGGGTTGAGGGGTGATGGTGATTCTTTTTTCTTGTTGCTTATCTCTTCTGATTTCTGATTTTTCAAAGATTTATTGAATAATCTAAAAAAAAAATAAGACCAAAAAAAGGCTATAAATATTTTACTTAAGTATGGGCTTAAGATAGTGTTCACAGAAGATGACGGCAGTTGGTCACAGAGTAGACAGAGCTTGATGTTTTAATTTTGTCATCTCATTGTCTCTTCCATTCAGCTGACCAAAATTAGCAGCATTGTTATTTTGTATTTTGTTATATGCATAAGGAGGCACTGGGTGTGAATAACATAAATGTTTCAGTGTTTAGTTATAGTGGTGATCTAATACTGAGTGGATTTATTTTGCTTTAATAGAATGTTTGGAATGGTTTTGGAAAAAATCATTATTCCTGAAATTCAGAAAGTATCTGGAAATGTAGAGAAAAAGATTTGTGCAGTTGGCATAACCAAATTACTAACAGAATGTCCCCCAATGATGGACACAGAGTATACCAAGCTGTGGTGAGTATTCCATTCTAAAGTTGGGGTAATTACAGTTTCTTTCCCCGAAGACTGTAAAATTAACCAAACTTACTCTGTTGGGGGTCAAGAGAATTGGGTTCTGATCTTAAGCCTCCCCCCTAGCAACCATCAGATCCAAGACATGACTTGTGGATCCTTCTGAGGCTAGAAAGATCTTGTTTTCTGATTAACTTTCCTATGGGGGAATTTATGGACCCCTCTGAGATCCTGGGTTAAGTCCCTGGTCTACATGACGGTCGCCTCCTGTCTGAACTAGCTTGTCTCTTTTTTTTAATATATATATATATATATATATATATATATATATATATATATACGTATATATGTATGTATTTTATTTATTTATTACTGTTTTTTGTTTGTTTGGCAGGGGGGAAGTAATTAGGTTTATTTGTTTTTAGAGGAGGTACTGGGGTTTGAACCCAGGGCCTCGTGCGTGCTGAGCATGCGCTCTACCACTTCAGCTGACCCCTCCCCACCCACCTTAAGTCTTTAAGAGGAGACACTGAATACACCAAGAGATCTCACGTGCTTGTGCTCGGTGTCTGGCCGACTTGGCTTTTCTTCCCCCTCGCCGCTCCTTTCCTTCTTAGTTTCACTCAGGCAGCCTCTTCCATCAAGCGATCTGACAACTTGAGGCTTATTTCTTCTAACGTAAAGCATTGAATCACCTTGGTTTGGCTTGAGGCACATGGCCTTCTAATTAAGTAGCCAGGCCTGGGTCACACAGCCAGCTTTGAGAGCTCTGGGGATGGAGCTGTTTCCAAAAGAGAAATTAGGGTACTGTGGGCCATAATTGAAGAGTGGTTTCTGGATGGGCACAAGCATTGATGTGCTGCTTAATTTCGAAGGTCCCTCTCTACTCTTGAGACTCTGAGTGTATAATTTTGTGTCCCTGAGGAATTGCTTCTTATTTATTTATTGTGTAATCTTCAGAGTAGTTACTTAAATTTTTTGTCTTCTTCCAATCCAGGACTCCTTTATTGCAGTCTCTGATTGGCCTTTTTGAGTTACCTGAAGATGACACCATTCCTGATGAAGAACATTTTATTGACATAGAAGATACACCAGGATACCAGACTGCCTTCTCACAGCTGGCGTTTGCCGGGAAGAAAGAACATGATCCTGTAGGTCAGATGGTCAACAACCCCAAAATCCACCTGGCACAGTCACTTCACAAATTGTCTACTGCCTGTCCAGGAAGGGTAAGTGTCTTTGCTGTCAGAGAACTCTTGATCAATGGTGACCTTTATGGGAAGGCAAGAGGGTCGTTCTGGTGCCTGTTTTCATTGTTCAGCAGAATCAGACAGTATCTGTAGAATTTTACAGTCAAAGCTTTTTTTTTTTTTTTAATTAAAATGACGGTCTCTTTTTTTTTCTTATATGATGCGTGCAAGTGATTTTAGGAGTAAAGACAAAGCAGAGGATAAATGCTTTAAACAGAAACATATTTAATTCCCAGATTGAAATAATCCTATTACTAAAATGTAGGTATTGATTTTTTTAACTGCAAAATACTCAGGAATAATGGATCATAGAGTAAATCTAATAATGGCTTTATAGTTGTATTAGCTTATAAATTTTATCAGATAATCTATATTTTTCATTGTTTTATGATGGAAAACTTGAAACATACTTAGAAACTATAATAGACACTCATGTGCTGACTTTTGTTTTTTTATTGAAGTATATTCAGTTTACAGTGTTGTCAGTTTCTGGTGCACAGCGCAGTGTTTCAGTCATACATAAACTCCTTTCCATATGCTCCGACTTTTGATAATTAGATCATTTCAGAGGAAGCCTTAGACATCATGTCTTTTCACCCATACATACTTCGTTAGGCATTAGCAACCAATAGGACCTTTTTTTTTTTTAAGCAACCACAATACCACTGTCACACTAAACAATAAAATAATACTTCCTTATGGATCCACTTTTTAGACCTACCCATTTTTGAAGGTATAGAAGCAGTTGAGTTACTCTGGGCATCACGTGAATAGTTACTGGTGATGGACTGCCTTTCCCAGAGCTGCGGCAGCTCCCCCGGAGGAGGGAGGGGTGTTGGTGTGTCAGGATCTGTCATCCTGTGTGTGTTTCCCGCCTCCTGTAGGTTCCATCAATGGTTAGCACCAGCCTCAACGCAGAAGCGCTCCAGTATCTCCAAGGATACCTTCAGGCGGCTAGTGTGACACTGCTTTGAACTGTTCTTTGAATTGGCTCCTTAGTCCAGGATGGTTTCTGAGGACATCATGTAGACTTCTGAGCACAGCTGCGTGAAAAAACAAAGCAAGTTTTCGTTTTGAACTTGTCACAAATTCCCTCTTGTAAAGAATATTAAATGTTGCTTTAAGCTGAACCTTGACAAATTAGGTGGTTTGTGTGATCATAAATATAAGTGGGTGACTTTTTCAGTTTGCAGCTATAAACACAAGTATTACTAGTTCAGTGTACGACATTGATTTGAGCATTTGCACTGTTTGGGTAATTTTAAAATTCTGACAGACACTGACTGTGGAGACATTTTGTCTTACTAAATCCTTTGAGGTTGTTGCCATTCGTATTTCTCTTGTCCTTTGTATTTTTGTCTGTTTCCTTAAGCTTTTATTGGAAATGTGAGTAAGCAAAGAAATCACTTGTGTAACTTGCCAGGAAATGCACATATCATAGTTTTAAACCTGTTATCAGCAATAAAAAAAAAAAGCCCTAATATGTACCTAAGAACATCTTAAGGACAGGTTTTTGGTGCTGGTATTTTTATAATGAAGTTTCTTTAAATCTTTCCTCTCCTGGACTCCATAAAATCATAATTTCTAAATAATTCAAATTCAGATGACTTAGTCTTTTTTTACAAGGGAAAGGGGAACAGTTACTACAAGTTTGGGGCCCAGCTGTTGGGACCTTCTAGGTAGACCAGTGCCGGGCAGCAGCGTGGACTCTGGGTAGGTGGTGTCCTCGGTGGACTGGACAGAAACGCTCTGCCGGGCTTCCCGAGGCTGTTGGGGCTGCTGTAGACGGTGTGGATGCTTGTTCTTTTTTCTCTGCAGACGGGAGGTCAGTTGGAACTTTTCACACCGTGGCATCTTAGAACTCTAGGTCTAGGAGCAGCCTGCAGGCATGGATCCATCCTGGTAAAGGCTGCCAGCCTGGCCCCTCCCTGGACCAGATTGGACCAGGTCCAGGGGTCCTGTGGCCTTTGTCCTTGGGGAATAAAGACTTAGACTGTCGGCATTTGGAGAGGCAGTATTTACATATGCTGGAATTTTTCATTGTTTAGTGCAGTTAAGCTGGAATCCCTTCTGTGCAGACTACATGGGTTTTTTCCTCCCACACGTCAGGCACCTAGCCTGAACGCTTTATCTTCGTCACATGCTGGTTGTGGTGGCAGAGAGATTTCCAGCTTAACCCAGTGTGCCTGCACCAATCCGGTTTTTTCAGTTTTTTATTTTTGTTTTGACATAGTAGTGGAAGCATTAAACCTTACATTGCTACAAGGCTTAAGTGGTCATTCGTTGGCAGACGGATACTGAGAGAGCATTGGCATCCATTTTTAAACTACAGACAGTTTATACAGGTGAAAAGTCTCAAGTGGCAGACAGAATTGGTGGTGATGGTTTATGTCTCTGTCGCTAAGTCCTTTGTTTTGAGGACTGACGCTGAGATAGGCCCCTCGACTGTCTGGCTCCGTGCTTGCTAAAGCTGTTGGTTAGCAGTTGAGTGAATGCAGGCAGTTCCTGTTCTGGAGGACCCCGTTTCAGCACCTTAAACTCAGAACACTGATCAAGGTCTGGATTTCTTCCTTTCTCAGTTAAAACAGTTGAATGGGAGACGGTTTGTGTTTGTAAGTGTACCTATTAAAACAGCGTCTGAAAAGGAAGGCTGGCACTGTCACTCTCTTCGTTAACCCTGGCATGATTCATGGGTATTCTGTTAATGGTTTTTTTCAACGGTGTAAACTGCAGTTTATTATTCCATCATCTAAGACCATTTTTCTATCCAGCTTATGAAGACTGTCACAGGTGGTAGGCTGAAGTCGCTGTGGGGTGTTTCTGACGAGTCTTGGTGACTATACCTCAGTGTGGTGCCAGTTCTTCTTGTGTGTAGAGCAGGGTTCCTATTTTGGGACCAGGCCAACCTGGGTTTGAATTACAGCTCTGCCACTGACTGAGACCTTGGACAGATGGCTTGACCTCTGTGCTTTTATTTCCTCTTCTGGAAAACGAGGAGACTACCACTTACCTTCAGGATGGTTATAAAAAAAATGAAACAACATGAAGTACCCAAGAGAACCTGTAGACTACTGATTAATAAAAAGCTGCTATTAGTTTAGCTGTTTAAGTTGGGGGGAGACGTGGCTGGGAGGAAGCGTGTGTGTTACTGAGCAGGGTGGAACACCGCCTGTGTTATCAGCCTGTGTAGTGGCCCTCGGAGGTGGCGAGGCTTTGTGGAGGAGTCCTGGCCTAGGCAGGGGCCTCACTCTTGGGCCGTTTTTCAACATGGGGCAAATGTCGTTGCAAAGTTCCTCATGAGAGCCTCCTGGGGAGGCCACTGATTCTCCCTGTTGTTGGAGCGTATCTTCTCTTTAAACAATCAGATTTTAAAGTAACACTTCTAATTATAAATGTGTTTTCTTTGTGGAAAATACAGGAAATACTTAAAAATTAAAAATCATCCATATTCCTACCTCCATTTCAGAAAAGCTGAGTGTTGGCTCTGCATCCCAGTTCTTGCTTGTTCCTTGCTCTTGTTCCTTGATTGAGAAACTTGGTGGCCTAGAGGTGTGATGAGGCAAGACTCACTCTTGGGTCCACCCTAGGGTGTTCTTGGTAGGGGCTTCAGGGACCCGTTGAAAATAATCCAGTTCCCTGTGGATTCTCTCTGTAGCTAAGAACTCGGTGACGGAGGAGCCCTCTGCCCTCCCCTCACCCGCCTGTCTCTGGGCTTGCTGCGGGATAGGTGGTAAAGACTTTTAAAAGCTCACGTGTGGCTGGAGAAGGCAGCCATCAACTCTAAGTCAGCTTTCTCCCTTATAAAGTGGACGATGTGAGAGAAGAACTTGGCAACGCGGAGGAGCGAGCCACCACAGAGACGGGAAGGTTTCTCAGACCTGTTGCAAAAGGGAGAATGATGGAAAGTGGGGAGCAAATGAGAGGTGTGGTTCCCTTGCACAGGGAGAATGGCCCGTCTCCCCGCCAGCAGCCGAGTCTATCCTTCTGCATCTAGAGAGGCAAGTGCGGCTCCCAGGATACTGGGTTTCTGCAGCAGACATCAGCTTGAGAAGACAGATCCTAAACTGTCTCCAGGTGGGTCCACAGGGCAGTGCGGTAAGACTGTAGCACGCACAGGTCCTGCTGCTCTCAGATAGAGCACGGTTTACGTCCTAGGAAGGCCGGCCAGTCCCACGGCTGAGAGCCAGGGTCGAGCTGGAGCCAGCCCGTGCGGAGAGCTGCCTCGGTCACGACTAGATCTCAGGCTGGACGAGGGCCCTACGACGGTGCCTGCTGAGAGAGCTCCCGAGGAGCAGCACGGTGGGGGCAACAAACTAAGCCAGCTGCCCAGGGTGGGCATTCCAGACGCCTGTCCTAGCGGCCTGCTGAGGAAACGGCCTTCAGTCCCAGGGACAGACCAGCTTCCAGTCTCGGGGGCCTGAAACAGCGAGGCCAAAGCTGCCTGCCATGCAGCCAGAGGCAGGATTTCTCAACATGATTCAAAGGATCTGGGGTTCTATCCAAAGGAACATCTACCTTTTACAGTGTTTTGTATTATTTTTTAAAAGCACTAGCAATTTCATGGGCGTTACACCCCCAGGACCTGGTTTGTTAGAAATGCACGTTCCTGGCCCCGCACCTGCTGCCTCGGGGCCCCCGGGAACGGGACCCGCAGCCTTTCAGCAGCCAGCCCTCCACGGGGCCTGACGGTCACGCTCAAGCTGGCGAACAAGGACTCAGGATGAAGTGAAAGTGAAGCCAAAAGACGTGTGGGTGTGGCGAAAGCTGTGAACACTGCTAGATTCTTAAGTTTCATAGCCTCAGAAAATGAGAAAGGGTCATATTTTAAAGATGTACAATTAACAGCTTTGGTTTTGCACAAAGGGTGGCAGACAGTAGATGGCTGCGGCAGGCAGGGCCCGCAGGGGCTTCAGGCCTCAGTGGGCCTCTCCGGAACGCGCTCCCTCCCGTACAGCTGAGACGGATGCAGGTTCTTGCTCTCGTGGAGCCTCCGTGCTTTTTCTTGGGACAGACTTGGAAGTGACTAGGGTCTGCCTCCCAGTGCGGAGAGCCCTGAGAGCTGGACAGAAGGACAGAATGAGAAAGAGTGCCCGGGGTAGAGGAAGGCTCCGAACATCTCCAGCAGGGAATCAGGCAAACGCCTCTCCACCAGCCACCCTGACTGGTGGAACTCTAAAGGCAAACTGGGAACAGCCGGCTTCTAAGTGTGTCTCTGGCCTGAGAACAGGAGCTGCTTACTAGGTTATTTACTGAGCACTGACTGCACTGCACACTCTGAGGCACTGCGTACATGTTAGTATCCACCCACCTACTTACATCTTGGCCCTTCGTGAGGTTGTCTACTTACAGGTGCTCTTCCCAGCACAGAAGCCGTGTCCACATGGGATCCACCGCCTCCCAGGCTGCTCCTCTGGCCTGGCCAAGGGGAGCACTGACAAAGGTGGTCAAACCACCTCAGAAAGAGCTGGGCCAAGTCTGGGGCCACTCAGGCTTCGGGGAGCTCAAAGGATAGACCGGTTGCCAACAAATGTTCTAGGCCCTACCTTCCCAAACTGCCATACAACATGGTCAAAGATCAGTGTGTGCCCTGGGCTAGGGAAGGTCTGAGTATTTCCAGTTTTCTTAGCTGGATTCAGGATTCAACCTGGCTTGCAATGTTCTTGTCCATGAATCCAAGGAGCCAGACAGGAAAAGAAATTACTAGGGTCCAGAGGAAAGTGCTCAGGCATGCGTTCTCATCCACCAGCACGTTTCTAACAATCTGCCAGGTAAGCATGTGCTCAGCATACACGACAGAGACACCAGGCAGACAGGCCCCCGGCAGGTGTTTGCACAGAAAAACAGAGGCCCAAGGGAATCTCAGCCTCTCAGGCCATTTCCCGGGGAAGACTTTTGGCAGCTGGAGCCAAAACAATTAAAAAAGCAGATCAAGTCTACAGGATTCTGACAGATCTCATTCCAAAGTGGCACCAACTGCCCACTAATGCTCTGGGGTTGGCAACGTCAAAGGTCAGAGAGGCACTCCCACTGCTGCTTCTGCAGCCTGTGGCAGTCAGGACACCCATCAGGAGCACAAGCCTGCATCCAACAGACAAGGGCGGAAGGAGGGACAGGAGCAGGCAGGCCCTGGTGGAGGGGCGCGGGGGGCGTGCACACTGGGCCCTGCCTGGGCCCCGCCAAGCTCCAGGATGTTCAGGGCACACCTCACCGCTCAGCACCACTATGTGTGCGCTGCAGACATAAACGTGAAAGAGGTGCGTGGGAAAGGGGGTGGAATAAATGACAGGATCTGTGTTTGGATAGAGGGCTTTTGGGGATAACTTCCAAATTTTCCACAACTTACTTTTAAAAATCACTTTTTTTAATTACAACAACACAAAGACTGTCTTACAGTTCGTTATTCCAGGCCTAGTAGGTGTTCCCATCAAAGTAGGTTTTTATGAAAATATTTGTAAAAGAATGGAAAAAGGAAATTATTTTTAAAATATTAAACGGGTTATTATGCACATATTTATACAAATTTCCTAAATTATATCATGTTTGCTAATATAAACTGGGTGCCATTTAAGTTAGTAAGAAGTCTGATTAAAATAATTTTAAAAATTAGTTTCAGATATATATCCTATATATACTTTGAATATATACATTAAACACAGCACTGCAAGCACACAGTGACAAATTCCAAGAAAACGCTGTACTGCTTTGATGAACTGAAACTGCCACCCCCTCCCGTCTTTGCGTTAGCCTTGCCTCTTAAAAGAACACACATTTCTTTAAAAGCCTATTTAAGAAAACTGGCTAACTCCTCCCGGCCAATCCAGCAATGCTTAAGTGCCTGACAAATCCATTATTTATGGATTTGGAAATTTTAAGTTTTTCTTGTCTGTTTTTAAAGGCACACAGACATTTAAAAGCACTTAAGCCAGAGACGGTTAAGTTTCATGCAAAAAACAGCCATACAGCTCAGTCCTTGGGTTTATTTCCTGGTGGCCATTTCCTGCTGAGCTCGTATTATGAGCTCCTAGACAGCAAGCAGCAGCACACCGCTTCCTGGGGATGCCTAGGTTTCTTTTCCCACTGGTCACGCCAATCCCAGACTTCCTCCAATCTCTTAACAGACCTTGGGATCCAAGCCAAGGTCACCGTCACTGGGCATTTGCCAAGAAAGCCGGGCATATTAGCTCAGTTAGCTGTGGAAGGAAATCCAGATTCAGAAATGACACTTTTCTAAGAGACAGTTCACACTCCCCTGGTTTAAGAAGGCCTTTAAAAATAATCCCCCCAAAACAAAACAACAAAAAAACAAAACCCAACTGTGGGGAAATCATCTTTACTCATTAAAATCTTGTGATTTAAGAGGAAATTAACAAAATCGTGACCTAATGTCAGTGCACCTGTTGTGCGGTGATCAAGTCCCAGGTCTGTCTATCCCAAGGACCCCAGGGGCTGCTCTAACTTTGAGGATCGATGCTCCACAAATCCTCAGACCCACCAGTCTTACTGTGGTTGATGACTTGCAGCTCCTTTGTTTATTTCAGACCTGCCTCTCAGGCGCCTTCCTGTCTGCTTTTCTGCCTGTAGTCTGGAAACCAAGACTGCATATACTGTCTAAACGGCTGAAGTACCTAGTTTTGACTCAAAGGTTCTTGCAACTCTTAGAGATCACGTTGGGATAAAACAGCACAAACTTTTGATTCCCAAGCAGCTCTCAGAGCACAGAGACAGCAGAGATCATGCAGGTGAGTGAGTCCTCAGCAGGCGATGACAGCTACAGGGCCTTCCCAGAGGCAAGGCTGGTCTGAGAGTTTACAATGTAAGAACAGTCAAGGACAACCCATCTGGACAGCCTTCCAAAGCAACCAGAGCTATATACCACCTTAAAAAAAAAACCTCTTGTCCTAACAATATCCCAGACATTAACAGAAAACTGTCCCTTTTTGGAGTGCTGTCAGTGAGGGCCCACTGGAAACCAACAACTAGAAGTTGTGAGTTACTTCTGAGAATGCCCTTCCCTTCTTCCCTTCCCAGTGTGGAGGGCCGCTGTTGAACGGGAGGCTAGGAGGGAAGAGCTGGGTGGAGGCAGCACGCCCCCAGCAGACAGCTAACATCACAGGGCACGAGTGGCAAGTGGAGGAGGTGGCAGGCAAGGCTGGGAGACTGGCTACAATCTCGGTGTTGGAGAAGGTGCTAAAAAAACGCAGGGGGGAAGGCTGGAGGAACCCTGAGGTGCCGGAGGTATCAGTACAAACGCATGGCTTGTAAGTAGATACACAAACAGATGTTTGTACCCATCCATACACTCAGATGTGTGTCCCAGCCATCTGGGGGCCTAGAAATAGCACCCCAGGAGCCATGAGCTCTCAGAGCGCTCAGATCTGTTTCTAAATGTGATCTGTCACTAGCGGGGATCAAGGCTCCTTGGAGAAATGCTGAATTCAGGGCTGGAAAGGGAAGATGCCTGCCTTCCTTTCACTGCCTTTATCCCTGCCATGCTGAGTCCCCTATGACCCTTCAGCGTCTCGTATAACCTCTGGTCACTTGCAGTTATTCTTGCAGTCCAATTCAGAGGCTCGTGTCACAGTGAACAACCCTGATGAGTATCTTCTAAAATTTAAAACCAGAAAACCACCAGCCCACTCACTCCTCAGCCAGGCTAGTATACAATGCCTCATCTTTACTCCAGGCCCAAGCGTGCCTGAAGGAAGTCACCAGCAAGCCTCCCTCTTCCTCTTGGGTCATTCCCTCAGGTGACAAGGTCAGGTTCAGAGAGAGGCCCTCCCTTCACCTGGGCACCCACACACCTCTCACTGCCAGCAGTGCCTCCACGCCATGCTTCCACAACTCACTCACATCTTCCCTTACTTGGTTAATTACTGCTCAACAGGACCAAAAATTCATTAGTAGCTGTTTATTGATCAATGGTTTGATATAAAGTTATTTCAGATCTTCAGAATTTTGCCCAAATGGAATCACAAGCATTACAAAGTTTTTTCCTTGAAAATAAAAAAAGGGTAGGGGCAGGCTGGGAGGGACCAACCTAGCAGTAGTGGCATTTGAGAATAAATTAACAAAAAAAAATTTAGTATTACCATTTATTGGTGACAAACACTAAGTTTTACTTACATTCCATGGGGAGAAAAAATTCCAGAGTAAACGATGAATCAAAGCAGTACTTAACTTGCAAGGCTACCGTGCTTTTCATCTGGACCATATGCAGGACCTTGCTGCACACATTTCTGTGCACAGCAACACGACATCAAAAGCAACACAGTTATAGAGATAAACATGGGTCATTCTTTTCAGCCCTACATGGAGATGTAATCAACAGTGTAAAGCACTCAGGGAAAATCAATCTGCAACTGAGCATGGGCTACATGGAGATCATATCCCGTAGTGTAGCTGTGTCCTTGAGTCTTATGTATGTACACACAATTTTTTAATAATCTTTAAAACAAAGATCAAAGTTCATTTGTTTAAGTCCTGTTGCATTAACAAAAATAAAATAGAAAAGGAACCAAATGATCATTTAAAGTTTAAAATTCCTAAACTGTCCAATTTACACAACTGTAGGAGACTTCATCAAGGGTTCCTGAGAAGTCCAGGACTGTGTCAGCTAAACCAGAGGGCACACAATCTGCATCAGTGAATGGTCCTGGGTTAGTCCAATGAAATAAAGATGTATAACCACATGTACATGGATATGATCTTTGCCGGTTAGATTACTGATAAAGTCAGTCTCAGACAAGTTTCTAAACTGTGCTATGTAACTAGATACAATTGAGAAATTCTCAAATAAAAATTTATATAGTGTCGTTTCAATCAAAAGGAAATAATGAAACTAAGAATACATATCTCTTTTGGAAGAGAGCAGTGGTGACGGTGTGGGCACCGCGGGAGGTGGCGGGCCAGAGCACGCTACAGATGTCAGCTAGCGCTGAGTAGGAAGCATATGATTTTCTCTGGTGCTTTCAGCTCTTTCCAGCGTGGGTGTCCAGGGTTTGTCCCAATGTGTTCGAGTGAGCCAGTTGGAGAAGGGGTCGTGCTTTCTGTTTCTTCTTTCACACAGCAAGAAAACAAACAAACAAACAAACACACACCCAAAAACAAACAAAAAACCCACCAAAACCAAGCACTGGGGTGCCTGGGGCATGGCCCTGCTGGTTTCCCAATGGACCAGGGCTGCCTGGCAGGCCCGCCCTGCCCCCTGAAGCTGCTGCTGTGTTGAGGGGAAAACCATAGCCACGCCGCCTCCATGTGTGCCTGCCGTCTTCACCACTGCTGTCTCCCGTCCTTTACCCATCGTGTCTCTCAGCCCACTGGAGGTATCAGAAATTCCAAACTTTCAAAGCAGTTTCAGTATTTTCAGTATATATGTTGGGATTTTATAATGGTTCATGGCCAGATAGGATTCAGCACCTCCCACACCTTTAAGGAAGAAAAAAAAAAAATGATCCAAGTTTTGAAATTAAAGAGAATTAAGCAATGTTAATAATGAAATTAGCAGGGGGGAGGGGGTATAGCTCAGTGGCAGAGTATATGCTTAGCATGCACAAGGGTCCTGGGTTCAATCTCCAGTACCTCCATTAAAAAAAAAAAAAAAGAAATTAGCAACATTGAGAAGTCAGGCCCCAGTTTATGATAACTGGATTAAAGTTTTCCCAGGATATACTATCAAGTGAAAAAAGAAAAGAATGTGTATAGTGTGCTATCTCTAGGGGGAAAAGGAAGAGAATAAGGAAAGAAATATATTTGCATAAAGAAACATATAAGAAGGGTATGTAAGAAACTGATGAAAATGTCATCTCTGGGTGGAGACAGAGTGACATGGGTGGGAACCGCATGAGGGCCAGATCAACCACTGTGTGTGTACACCATTTAAAATAATGTTGACTTCTGAACCATGTGAATGTATTATCTATTCAAAAACTTTTTTTTAAAAAAGTAGAGATCTCTACTCAAAACTTGAAAACCTTTTAGTGGAAAGGGACGGAAAGTGACTTAGACAAATGTTTTACTACTAAGTTGAGCAGACAATTTGAATTTATTGCAAATGAGGAACAGAACTGCCTTTCCATGTAAATCAGCTCACTCACACAGACATTGGTCCATTTCCTGTTCTTGGCATCTCTGTATTTTGTTGGTCCAACTCAGACAGCAACTTTAAAATGTTCAGTGCAGCCTAGCAGGAATGAAAAGGAAAGTCATTTGACGACCACTGCTCAGGACCACAGCTTGAAACACTGAATGGGAAGGCGAGGGATTCTCCTACTGCCCAATAAAACAGGTGGCCCCACTAAATAACCCTTCCATGTTTGAATTTTCACTTAAAAATACAAATTTTTAAAAGTTACCAATTATTACCTCACTGAATCACAACCTCTGTTAATTTTATTATATATTGTCTTCAAATATTTTTAACCTTGTGGTCAGCAGACTGTACAATATATTATATCTTGCTTTAAAAAAAAAACCTATCAAGTTTCCTTGTTAGAATACATTACATTCAGTGACATTAACATGACAGATACATTGTATATGTAGATTTTTAACTTATGTAGATTAATCAATTCCTTTTCTCAGTTTTAGTATTTCTTACAAGAATTTCATCTGAACAGAATGCCAAAACAAGGGGCTTTCTACGGCTGCTAGAGCCTGGGACTGCAACTCTTTGTTCTGGTAAGAGATAAACTGAGTACAGTAACTGGAGGAGTTCCAGGATCCAAGTCTATCCCTCAGGTCAGAAAGGGAAGAGGGGAGTGGGGCTGGCCAAAGCCCATGAGCTCTGATAAACAGAATGAGAAATTAAGGCAGTAACCTAAGAAAAAAGGCTTCAGAACTATGAAATCTAAAAAACAATTAACTCGTCTCCAAGCCTTGGAGAGACTCCTTTTCCTCCCTTGCTGAGGCCAGCAACAAGCCGGGGCCAGGCCCACCGCGTGGGGTAACGTACCATATCATGGCAGGACTCCACGTCCTTTCCGATACCGTGGCTGATCAGGGGTGGCTGAGAGGAGCAATTGATAAGAGATACAAATTCGTTCTTGTTGTTTTTGGGGAAGTCTTTGTATTCAACCTACAGAGGAAAAGATAACTGAGGCAGAGGCAGGGAAGCGGGGAGCATGAATGGGACTCGGGTCTGCAGCTCTGGGCCCAGCATCAGGGAGACGACACTTCTTTCTCCCTGGTCTCAGCCTGACGTCTGCACCAACTACTGCTCCACAAGCACGAGAGACTGTCTGAGGGGACTGCTGCTAAAGGGCACTGAGGGCTGCAGGCAGGAGACCAGGGCCCCAGCCTCCAGAATCTTCCAGGAACCTACATGTCTACTCAAAACTCTAGTCTGGAAGAAGCCATGTTCCTTCCTACCAGGCAGAAAGAGCCAACACAATGAATCGGTTCTCACTTAAAAGTCTAAATGTGTAACTATCACTGGATTACAGGCTTTGTTGTTATGGTTGGCCTGGATTTTTAAATTTCTATTATCCAAGGTTGAGGATTTTCTCTTACTATACAGGCATCTAATACTTTCCAAGCCTCCCCTCTCCTCCTCAGGACCACCCTTTACCATGCTTCCGCCAACCATCCCCTTAGACAAAGAACTTGGTCTAAAAAACAACACACTTAGTTCTGAAAGAAACCCAGAGGTAACCGCACTAAGGTACAGACCACACAGCTCTGACCCAACAGTTACCTGGAATCCCTGGACTCTGGAAAGATAGTCCAGCTGCTCAGAGGGTCTTGTGAGAGGTCCATGGGGTACGTGGCCTGAAGAGATGTTATTCTTTAAAATGGTCTCGGCTGTAGGCGAGGTGCCCCCATACAACAATTCACGGGCTATCATGGCAGTTACCGTGGCCTTGGCAGGATTTGGAGCTACCCTGGTGAAATCTTTGGTGTGATGTCCTTGACTGACTCCTACGGCCTGGGCAACCTCGGGCACCATGGGAAGAATTCCAGCAGGCAGCTGTTGATGACTAAGGTAAGGCATCCTAAACTCATCCTCTTTACTGCCTGGGGAGGGACACACAGACAAATTAACACACGTCCATACATGCTGCCTGGAAAGACGCTCTACAACCCAACGCTGGCCCTCCCTCGGCACACACAACGGCACAGGGATGACGCAGAGCCGAACACTGCACACTCACTCACTGGGTGTCTGCTATTTCCAGGAACCACACAAATCCCAGAATCACATTCAGATCAAGACAATATTAACATCACACTTACTAGTCCCATTTTCATCCCCAGAGCCAGGTTCAAAAAAGGTTACTTTTCTTCCATCCCCTGGTTTCTTTATGGGTGTCTTAAAAAAAAAAAAAAGGCCATGAGCATAAATCAAACTGTTGGAAAATTCATTCCCACTGTCCAAAACTACACAAACTCCAACCAACATTAATCTTGGTTTTAAACTTTTGAAAAATGAGGGAAATCAGCCAAAAAGCCCTCCACCAAAGCCCCACCACTGGTTTGCTTGTGCTGCTCAATGTGCCCAATGGCAGAGCCACCTGCTTTCTCCAAGGTACACTCTCAGCCACAGCAGCCTGTGCACAGAGGGCATCTCACGAAGGGGTCCCCTGCTCTGTGCTCACGAGCAGAGAGGCGAACATTTAACCAGAAGGAGCCAGAAGATGTTAAGTTGATAGAGCTGACCAAGAAAGAAACCTTTAGGTTGAAGTTAAACAGTTGAATAAACAAAGGACATTTCCTGAAGCAAATGTCCAACTAAAAGATAAGGTGACATATCCAAAGATAATGTAGGGGAAATGCTACTAGATAAATATTTTGCCAAACACAGGATCTCTTTTCTGAGAAGGTGAAGGTGCCTATGATGTTCTCAAGACTTTGGAATGAAAAATCTGAAAGCCAAGTCCAGGATCTCTGCAGATTCTGTGATAAGAGTGCTTGGGACCCCGGTTATTAGTATTAACCATGTGGCCACAGCTGATGACATTTCTCTTTGCTAACACGACTGGCAGACATGAATGAATCAGGCCTGGCATTTTCAAGTTTGTCCTGAAAGGACCACCCAGTAACTGAAGACAGGGTCAGCCAAGGCTTTCACGGAGGGTACCGCTTCCCAATCTTCGCAGAAATGCAATTTTCAATATGGGATTATTTTTAGCTAATGTTCAGTTCATAAAGAAAAAGAAATCCCAAATCTAAACTATTTGGCCCTGACTCTAGTATCACACTGTCTCAGTGTCCCAGAAGAGCCTACTCCACAACTAACAGAAGCCGAGGATTGTTGAATCTTTTATACAGGCTTCGCTCTAAGAGTACAAGTGATAGAACCACACACACATTACTTTCAAGCCCAATTACTCATCATCCCACAAACAGGGAAGAGAAAGCTGCCCTCCAGCAAAGCATCCCAGGCCACAAAGATACTGAAACAGTAAGGACTTAACCCCGAGCCATGCTTGGAGCCATGGACATGCAACTCCCCTTCTGACCACATTGTAAGGACCCACTGCTCAGCAGGGCTGCGTTACTGCCAGGAGGATGAAGGAAGTCTTGCCCTGAAGCTCAGCCCTGGAGGAGCCAGGGCCCCTTGTATGAGGCAAGAAGGTCATCCTGCAATTAGAGAGCAAGGACACAGAGCCCCCCGCAGTCACCTTCTCCTCTGATTTGAGGGCTGGTTTGGTGGGCTGGGCCTGCGGGACTTTGAAACCAAGGATCTCCAGCATGTTCTCGGCTGCATTGCGTTTGGCCACTTTCTTATTGGTGCCTGATCCTTCTGCGGTGTGGTTTCCCACCTTTACCTGCATACAAAAGGCAGGACTCAGAACAGTTCTTAAGTCTTCAGAATAAAGACTGCTTGGGAACTGACAGGCTGGCAAAAAAAACCCAGAATGGTAGAAAGCTGGATAGCTTAACAGCGGTGCCCTGGAGCTGGTTTGCACCAGCCTGAGAGAGCCCATTGTGAAACATTCAGGACTTTGGAGAGCTGGTTGTTAAAGTCAGCCATTATCAAACATTAAATTATATGAGCTTATAATTAAATTATTTTAATAAACAAGAGGTAATTAACACATGAAACTCATCACTTCCTACCTGGACTCTACAATTATCTGTGCTTTTGAGGTTTTTAATAGTATCAGTTGTTAAGTGTATGGCGTCAACATGCTGCTAGATGTCTCTTTCCAACTCTGTCATCAGAGCTATAGTGGGAGTATTTACACCACAGAAATCTGCAAATACTACATATCAAGGATGAAGTTTTTTCTGTTGATTGTCTATTCTTAGACTTAAGCGATAGAGAAAAAGCTAATGCAAATAAACTTTAAAAGTGTTTTCAAGTCGGCAGCCATGATGACACTGTAACCAGTACAAAAAAACTAAAGCTTCCAGTCTTCGAAAATTACTCTCTGATTCAGCAGAGGAGTCATTCATACCGTTTAAACGAATGAGGTTCTGACATGTCTTTGTTGTTTTACTTATTTGTTAATATAAACAAAAATGTCAACCAGTACTCATGCTAGAACCACACTCGTTTGACAATGACATGAGCAAACCTCCTTGCTGAACTGGAGAGGAATAAAGCAGTCACATCACACTGCCATCCATGATTGTCACACTGAAGTTATAGATGTTTAAAATTTACAATAAAGAGTATTTATTTATAGTAAAATACAATAATAATAATGAGTATTATTTACAAACTGTGAGCTATATTTCTTTCCTATCAGTAAAATCTATAACATACACATATGTAAGTATAATATGTATGCATATATGCGTACAGATCGCCACACACATCTTCCTCCCATCATACCGCCTCCCCTCAGAGTCGGCTATTAAACATATTCTAGCACACGTCACTGCTTACAGTCCCCTTCCAAGCTGGTCTTGACCACAGACTGAAACCAAAAGCCCTGTATGACGTAAGAGAGTTAAGGAAACCTTTCCTGGCCTGTCAAGATGGGACTGGCGTTGAATCATCCTAACCTGGCATCCACCAGCCATGTAATCTGGGCAAATTACTGAGCCTCTCGGCAAGCTACAGTTTTCTCCTGTACAGTGGAAGGGTCATCACTGTTCTTGCCCTCTGACTGGGTAGGTGAAGCACACCAGGCTGTCGGTGCTTTATAAGTTGTCAACCGCTCACTACACAGGGTTTAATAAACCAAGTGCAAGGAGAAACACTGTACATATCTGAAGTGTAATCCCAATGTGAGGAGGAGCCAACCCCAGACTCCAGATTCTACAGAAGGATCAGGGGGAACAGGAAAAGATCTTTCATATAATTTATAAAACCTATCTTCTGAGAAGAACAATATAAAGCTTCAAGAAGTAACAAAGAAAAAAAAAGTCGTCCACGGTTCTACTCCTCAGCACTCCTCTAACCGGGCGCAGTGTGTCTGAGCTCCTACGTGTTGATACTGCGGCCTCTGTGGTGCGCAGACAAGCACATGTTTTAAGGCACTGAATTACTGCAAATGATGTGGTCTTAATAACAGTAATGTTCGGTGGAAGGGAGCAGCCCACTAGCCCTAGCCTCCTGGGGAAGGTGTCCAGCCCCTGGACCTCGGCAGGCCCTGGACCTCATGTGGTCAGAGAACAGCCGCCCACAAGCCGGCTGACCCACCTGCATCACAAACTCCCTGCGGCGTGGGAGGCCTCGCTCGGTGAGGAGCAGGTACTCTGGCTCCTTCTCCTTCTTCGCCTGCTGGATCTGGGCCAGTCTGCTAATTGGGTTCATCCCCTGGCCATATTCTGGGCTGCTCTGTAGCTGAGGAACAATTAATGTAGAAACCATATACCCCGTTAGTTACAGAAAAGACCTTGCCAATTCACAGACCAAGACATGACAGTTGATTACTTGCATGCTGATCTAATGGCTCAAAATTAATCAGATCTTTTTTTAAACCTTTTAAAATTGGAAGATGCGTAATGATTTTCTATGACTGAGATGATTTTAAGATCTTCTTAGCAAACCAACACCAACATTCACTATGTTGTAGGCAAGCATCAACGTAATGTCTGCCTTGTAACAGTGAATTTCAACATACGATAATAAATGAAGAGGCAGAAAAAAATACATTCTTCCTAAAACTTCCCAAAAGTCTGTATTATAATGTTGGGTTCCCAGCTTTCTGGACAATGATTCAAAAACCAGAAATCATTAAAAGAAAAAAAATTCAAGCTGACGCCATGTGGAAAGAACCTAAGAATCCCACAGTTACTTCCTGGTGGCCACCTTTAGCGCCAACGAATCCTCACCCGCTCACCGATAAGGAGTGACTTCCCGGATATGTTAAGTGGAAAAAGGAAACTGCAAAAGTATGCTAGCTTTCATATGTACAGAATGCTAATTCGTGTGTAAGAAAAAATGTGGATTGTGATAGAGCATAAAACTATATTGACAATTCTAACTTTACAGATCGTAGTGTTCATAAATGTCTCCAAATGGACCCATCCCTTACGTGGGAGGGTGGGGGGTAATATAATTTTTTGATAGGTCCACTAGCATGACTCAAAAACCCAGAAGAGTAAGAGAGCATGTGGTGCAACGTCTCACTCCTCTGCTGCCCCTGACATCTCTCCGAGGCCCAGGAACCCCTGCATGCTCAGAGCCGTGCGGCAGACAATGACACAGAAGCAGCACGATTCAACTGCTCCCCCCAGAGGCGGGCAGTGCGGCTGCTGACACGCAGCTCCTCCCTGTGATCACAGGGCTGCGAGGACACCCTCATCCAGACGTATGTGGCCGCCCTCAGGGGCCTCCACTGAACCCAGTGCAGGGTCCCTGTCGTTGCCTAACCTGGGGCTCCAGTGGCAGCAACACACGGTGGCCCCTGTAAAGGCTCTCCCGGGCCCGGCGTGGGCGTGCTAGCTCCCGATCTCCTTCACCAGCCTTCTCAACTCCCACCTGTCTTCGGGCAATGAAAACGCCCTCTTCGTTCAGAAGTGTTCTTACCCTGACTATGGATTTTGTTTTCTTTTTGATTCTGGGCTTCACTCGCTCAACTGTAGGCAGGGGCGGTAATTTCTTCAGCTCCTCAAGAACAGCTATAGCAGCGTTTTTCTTTGAAATCTTCTTGCTCTTCCCTTCACCTTCCCCCACAAACTCCCCAACCGACACCTTGGTCACAAAGCTCTTCATGTGGGGTGGGCCACTCTCCCGGGCAACCTGTTTCAGAGGGAAAGACTGAGTGAAAGCGTGACAGACACTTACTACCAGCTGCAAGGCACACTGCTTAGCACACCGCTCCACATGAAACACAGGAGAAGGGGAACTAAGGACAAGACCCATTAATGTTCTTAGGTCTGACAGGTCCAAAACAGTTAGGAATGGAACAGGGAAGCATTTTTTACTCCCACCCACCCAGGGTTACAGACTGTCTTGAGTTTAGTGTGCTCGCCTGCAAACGGCAGAAAGGACACTGGCCCAGCAAAGCCCAGGAATGAATGTAGCACAAAGAGTTCAAGTTTAGTATTTGCTCTGAGCCTCCAGCCAAGATTGAGCTTATTAAATGCTGGCTGCTTTGCAGCTGTAAAAAGAAATGAAAAATCTCCAAGTTTAAAGTGATTTTCAGCACATAGTAAGTCTAAACAGCAAACTGCAAAAGAGTAGATATGGTACCTTAACTTCTCGGTACAAAAAAAAGAGGGGGAGGTTTATATCTATGTAAACATATACACACATACAAATAGATGTGTGTTTATATGCTTATTTTTACAAAAAAAAAAAAACTCAGGATAAAGCAGAAACCAGTGGAATTAGTTTCCTACAACAAGTGGGAGAGACTGGGGTAGAGAAGGGACAAGATGACACTTCTGAATATATCTTTTTGTGTACTTTTGGCTTTTAGAAACATCTGGTGTTACATATAACTAAAAATATAAAAATACGTTGACTAGGATGGGAAAAAACACTGAACAGAACTCTAACTACATATTAAAGTGATTATATAATCACACAGAAGGAAAATAAAAATCAAATCTAACCTACATTAGCCAAGACACCCTTGAAAAGAACAACTAAGTAAACAGACTTACACTGTCAGATTTCAAAGTTTCCTGTAAAGTTATAGCAACTACAACATGATGGTATTATTTAAGGAAAAACCAACAGATCAATAAAACAGAAGGGAATGCAGAAATAGACCTGTGCTAGGCGGTCTCTTGATTTCTAGCAAACACACCAAAACAAAGCCAACGTCTTTCTTTTTCAAAAATGACATGAGAGCAACCAGATAACCCTGAAGAGGATTAAGGGCCAGAAGCCCTGAAGGGCTGGGCTGCTGCTCACTGTAGAAGACAATAAAAACACTTTCCAGCCTCACTCAGGGCGCCTCATCCTTAATCCCAAGGGAAAAACTAAAGATCTCAAACTCAACCAAAACCAAAAATTAACTGAAGCTGTAACACAGACCTAAATATAAAAGTTAAAGCTTTCAGAAGAAAACATAGGAGAAAACCTCACGACTATGAGGTTGGCAAAGAGTTCTTGAACACAAAAAGCACAAACCATAAAATAAAATTAGAATTCCTCAAAGTTAAACACCGTTCACTAAAAGAACATTTAAAAAATAAAAAAGGGAACCCACAGAATGGGAGAGAATATTTGCAATATATGTACCAAAGGAATTATATCCAGAACATTTAAGGAACTCCTAACAACTACTCAATTAAAAAAACTACTTTAACAGCTACTTTTGGCAAGGACATGGAACAAGCGGTGGGGGTAAAAGCTAGTACAATCACTTTGGGAAAGCTTGACAGTTTTTATAAACATCTATCCTTTGACTTAGCCATGCTGAGTGCACACAGGTAACCAAGAAGATTTTGCAGTTTTATTCCTAATAGTTCCTACCTATCCACCGTCCATCAAGAGGACAGTGGATAAATTAGTTTTACATTCATACACCGGAATACCACCCAGCATTTAACTACTGATACACATGGATGAGCCTTGCAAACATTCTGTTGAGGATAAGAAACAACACCAAACAGTCTACATTGTATCATTCCATTTATATGAAGTCTAACGACAAAGAAAATGAATCTACAGTGACTGCAGAAAGCAGCTTCTTCTGGGTGGAAAAGGACACAGGGACTTCTGGAAGTTATGATAACGTTCTATATCTTGATCTGGGTGGTGAACCATGGGTTTTTACACATGTTAAAATTAAGTGGGCTGTGCACTTAAGATATGTACATTTTACTGTATAAGAGACTGTTAAGCATAGGGAAAAATATCCAAGTAAGTTTGGAAAACAATTCTTTGAAGATATAATGGTAAAAAGAATTGCAAAAGTGACTCAGACTTTACTTGGTAGGTCTGTTGTTGAAAGTATGGGTAAATATATTGATGTTGTTGGGAGCCAGATTCTCATGATGGGAAAAAGAAGATCCAAACATGGAACAAGGAAACAGAGAGGAAGAACTTTGTGATGAGGGATTGAAATCGGAGGCATAAACTTGTGATTTTAAAAACAAGACACCCATTTCCTAGCACTACCTGCTTAACAGGGTCTAGAAGCAATGACTCTCCAGCAGCAGCAAGCACCCCTCCATCCTCATCTTGGCCTCCACACTCCACTCTCTATCAAAGGGAACCAGGGTTCCTTGGAGGAACAGCCAAGATCATTTCTATTAGAATTTCTATTTCCATCAGAGTCAAAGCTAGAGCAGGGCAAGTTCAAAGTAAGGCTAAAAACACTGCTGAACCAGAAAATAAGAAAGTTCTCAAAATCTGAAGAGGGAAGTTGAGAACAAGGAGGCAGGGAAATTAGATACCCACACACATACACAAGCAAGAAGAAAAGAAAAAGAATCTTGACTCTTACCACATAGTATATATGAAAACTGTAACTCAAAATGAATTAATAAACCTAAATTTAAGAGCTAAAACTGTAAAACTTCTAGAAGAAAACAAAGGAGTAACCTTAGGTTAAGCAAAAGTAACTTAGGACACAAACACCATAAGCCATAAACTAAAAATCTGACAAACAAGACCTCTCCAAAATTAATTATTTCTCCTCTTTGGAAGATATGGTTTAAAAATGAATAGACAAGCCACAGACCATGAGAAAATATTTGGAAAATACGTATCTCATAAAAGAACTGTGTTTAGAATATATTAAGAACCCTCAAAACTCAATAATGAACAGATAACTCAACTAAAAAACTGACGTAAGATATGAACAGATACTTCTCCCAAGATGTACAGATGGTAAATAAGCATATGAAAAGATGCTCACTATCACTAGTCTTCATGGAGATGCAAATTAAAACCACAAGTTACTACACACATTGACTAGAATGACTAAAATTTTTAAAACTGACAATACTAAGTGTTGAAGAGGATGTAGAGCAACTAAAACTCTCATACATTGCTAGTGGGAAGGTACAATGAGACAACCAGTTTAGAAAACACACTGGCAGCTTCCTATAAAGATATAAAGTTCAAAAGTTAAAAGATACATTTACTACACAACACAGCAAATCAACTTCCAAGTATTTCCCCAAGGGAAATGAAAACATGGTATACAAATATATGTACGTATTTATGGTAGCTTTATTTATAATCACCAGCAACTAGAAACCACCCAAATGCTCTTCAGCTGGTAATGGATGAATAAGTTGTGGAATGTCCATATAATTAAATACTACTCAAAAATGTTTTTAAAATGAACTCCTCATACATGCAGCATAATGACTCAAAATCTGCATTAAGTTAAAGAAGCCACACAAAAAGCAACAGACTCTATAATTCCATGTATGTGATATTCTGAAAAAGGCAAAACTGTAGGGACAGACATCAGATGAATGGCTGCCCGAGGCTGAGGATGGAGGAAAGGGATTGACTGCAAGGGGACAAAGTGGTAACTTTACAGGGTGAGAAATGTTCTTTAACTGTGGTGGTGGTTATGCAAATACACCATCAAAACACACTGAACTGTATATTTAAATAGGACAAATTTTAATACTGTACATGAATTATACCTCAAGAAATCTGACCCCTCACCCTGACTTAAAAAAAAAAACAACAGATAGAAGCATGTCAAAGGACACAGGAGCCAGTCTAAATGGCAATCTGAACATCAAAATGGTTAGCAATAATAATGGAGTTATACTCTGAATGCACCTATACTAATACAAATTAATGTAATATGGAGGGATTTATAGTAGAATGTCAACTTGGACATGCAGAAAATCAACATTTGACATCCACCACAGCAGTAACTGGTGCTAGGAAGAATTATCACATGCTCCCTCCCTAACAATGCTTTCCACGTTCTTGGATCAGACTCAAAAATTAAAAGCAGTCACCCTGATGGATCACTTCAAATTCACAGCCCTATCCTGGTCCCTCAGAAACCATTTTCATTGTCTGCTCACATCACCACCCCACCAATCTCTATCTGCAATTTGACCTAGAATGTATTTAGTGTGATCAAGTCACAACTGCCTCCTGGTGAATGTATCAATCAGCATCACATCTGTTAACTAAAACTACGTATTTTATCAAAAATCAAGCTGTATACAATTTTCTGAAAACCTGTATAAATAGCTCCTGTCTTCTCCTGTTACATATCTAACCCAGTTTTCTATGTGACACATCTTACTATCTGACAAAAAAATAGCTGTTCTATTCATATATTCAATAAATATTTCCTGAGCATCCAATATATGCCAGGGAATCTTCCAGGTGCCAGAGACAGAACTGTGGGGAAAAAATGAAAGCTCTTGCTCAACCTAGTAACAGAAGTTAATAGGAACCTTTGATATTTAAAAGCTATTCAATATAAGTACTCATATTAACAAACTCAATACCACACAAACTGTCATGTTTTAAGTTATTACTCTAAATTATTACTTTCAGTGACAATCACCACCAGAGAGCACTCCCTTTATTTCTTTTGTGACTACTTGACAGCTCCCTGCTATATGTTCCCTATTCCTGAGAACACAAGTTTGAAAGCCAAATCTAAACCTTAAACAAAAGTAGAGGTGGGACAGAAGCAATCCGGTCCCCAAATACCACAGAGCAAAAACATAAAATGGCTCTGATTCCATCAAGGTTCCGTACAGCTCTGCGACTCAGGCACAGCAGCAATTAGTGTGAGCCGGTGACAAGCCTCACAAGGATCTAGGGCCCTGGCCCCGGCGGCCACCTCTGAAACCCTTAGGTGACCCAAGAAGCCAAGTATCTCCCACTCCCACAATCTCTGAACCCCTTCCTCTAATCTTTAAAAATCCATTCTTGTGACACCAATGCCTCAGCAAGAGGGAAAAGAGCATTTCTTCTCTTTCCTGCAACATAGTCTCACAGAGACCTTGTGACTTTGTGGAGTGAAGCTCTCGCCTAGTTCCCACCCAACAACTAACCCTGTCATTCTGTATGTCCCCTGTCTCATCGCTTCCTCAACCCCCACCTGCTACCCTCAATAGAGGGAAAAAGACTGGAAGGGATGGAGGGCCGGGTAAGGGGATGTCAACCATAGGTCCACCTGGTGCTCTGTACTCTGGAAGGCGGATCATATTAACTGGTCTTGCCTGCCAGGGAAGGGCAGGGCAGGGCAGGGATGAGGTGGGGGGATTGCGAGGTGGCCCTGTGATCCAAGTGCAACTGCCATCCCCACCTGTGCCCCATGGCAGGCAGGTGAGCACCGCCAGGTTGTACGTTAGAAGTCATCATCACTCAGCTGACAGACTAAGGACTGAACTCAGGAGCCAATTTAGGGCACTGGCACGTAATAGGAGAAGGCACATATTTTACCAAAGTCAGACGGAATTTGGGAATCACCTGAAACTGCAAAGATGCTACAAAATTAAAGTATTTTACAGGATAATAATTTTCAGGTAGGCTTTTTTAAAAAGAAATAGGCCAAAAGAAGTTCATGAACCACTTAAAATTGTTTTAAGCAGATGTCCCACCTCAAATTACATTTACCTAAAGTAACAAATATGGGAGTTTAAAGCTCTCTGGAAGACTAAACATATGCTCTTTATAACTCTGAAAGACCAAATACCTGATAAAGAAATCTATTAAAACTCAACCTTGCATAACCAAACACAGAAATCAAAGGAAAGGATTTTCAAACTATCTGCAAAAATTAGGGAAACTTTAAAAAAAACTCCCCTTTACCTGCCTAATCTATTTGGACTCACTATGTCTTTGAAGGAAACACAGACCTAATGTATCTTATTTTCCATTTTGAACTAACAACCATTAACTATTTTTAGACCGTAAGGCCTTCAACAACAAATGAAGTTATTAAATGGAAAAACTGGACACTGGACAATGACAAAACCTATGTCTTTTTAACAATTACTCTGACAAGATTTTTAGGGATCACTAAAGGGAGATTCTTAGATATTTTAGGGGTATCAGATGCTTTTGAGGGTATTATGAAGGCAACAGATCCTCCCTCCAGAAGAATACACGTGTGAACATAAACATGACCCCCTTCAGACTATTTCAGGAGGCCCACAGACCTACTGAGGCCATCCATGGACCATCTAGAGATCCACGGCTGCCCTGGGAAGAAATATTGCTTTGCTAAATATAAAATTTCAATCTTAAATTTGAAGGTTCACATATAAGTAATTATCATTCCAATGTTATTCAGGAAAAACACAATTCCCAGGATGAATGCCAACAGTATTTCATAATCGAGAGTCCTACACATAAATAAGCTTACCTCAAAATTCACAGGCAAGTTCCGTTTAAGTGCAATCTCAAACACTTGACTTATTTCAGATTTATTGAGATTTTCTTCTTCTGATTCTCTTCCATTTACCTGAAGGAAGAATAATCATTTACTAGTTAACTCTTGTTAAAGCTGTCAAGGTCCCAGCTGTGATGATAAACCTTAAAAGCACTGAACCTAGGCTTTATGCACTGAGCACCAGGAACAAGGCCACATGTGTACCACGTGTCAGTGAAATTAAAAAGTTAACAGAAAGTGTACTTTCACGGTCAGTTTGTACCTCATAAATCCACCATAAACAATCCACACATTAACTGGCCTTTGGGTATGAATCAACCTAATCATGGTACAGGGAGAGCCACGGCCACTCAGAGAGGGACTCCTGGAGCCCCCTTGAGGACTGGCAAACCACATTTTGGAAAAAGTCCAAGTACAGTCTATGTGGGGCACAGCAAGGACAAATACGTCTCTCCGCCTAGGTGTGCAAGTTTCTTATTTGGACAAAAACTCCCCAGAAGCCACTTTTTAAAAAAAGAGGCAGTGGAACAGTTACAAAACTGCCGTGTGTCTCATCCTTAACTGCTGCTGGATAAAATGCAAGGTGTAAACTAATAAAGTTCCCTGAACAAAAGCTGAGACTCCAGCTTTGTAGCAAGGTTCAGTCCTCCACAGGCTGGGATTAGAGAGAAGCAGAGATCTTTCCTATGCGTGTGGATCACATGGATTCTCTACTGTGCAGCAGTGATAACGTGAGAAACAGCGAAGTGACCCCAAAACATGTCAAGACAGCTCTGTTTTCTTATACTGGAATGCTTTTGTCAAAAAAAAAATTTGTAAAATCTTATTTTCAAGGTTAGAACTATCTGACAGGAACACATGGCTGAAATCCCTGAACAGACAAGGTGTAGCACTATCCAGGATTTTATCTGTTGTGCAATTCCTTAGGTTTATCAGGTAGGTCCTGTACTTCACACAAGATTGATATTTCAATCTGTAATTAAAAGGAAGTTTTTTAAAAGTTAGAAAAATTCTAAGTTAAAAAAAAACATTAATACAACCAAGAATATACTCCTGTACAAGTAAATTTATACCAAACACTGTAATTCTTTCTCTCCTTTCATGATGATGATGTTTTCTTTCTAATCTGGTTTGATTTCACTCGCTGCCTAGTCAAAACTGTTTGCATAGCAATTTCTGGTGGTTTATTAAGCCAAACACACTTTTAGGTTCGTTGTTTAAATTCTAAGGAGAAAGAGGGCCTGTCTTTTTATGAGTGAATCCTGAAAGCCAGAAATCTTCAAGCAAGGTGTTTTAAAGGCTGGAGTTCCACAGAGTTTTGGTTTGACAGTTACTTTTTAAATAGGTTTAAACAAACAAAAAATACTGTATTTTAAAAAGAAAGCATGTTCAACAAATGGTGCTGGGAAAACCAAATATACACACGCACACACAAAATGAAGCTGGACCCTTACCTTGTATCTCATATATAAATTAAGTCAAAACAGACCAAAGACCTAAACACAAGAGCTAGAAGTATAAAACTGAAGAAGAAACTGGGGAAAAACTTCATGACACTGAATTTGGCAATGATTTCTTGGATATGACACCAAAAGTACAGGCAACAAAAGAAAAAAAATAGATAAATTGGTCTTCACCAAAATTTATAACTTTAGTACATTAAAAGACACTATGAAGAGAGTAAAGACAACCCACATAATGGGAGAAAATATTCACAACTCATATATCTGATGAAGAATTAATGTCCAGATAAATAACTCCTACAACTCAACAACAAACAATGCAATTCAAAAACAGGGAAGGGACTTGAATAGACATTTCTCCAAAGAAGATATACAAATGCTCAACATCTCTAATCATAGGGAAATGAAATCAAAATCACAATCATATACCACTTCACACCCATAAGGACAGCCAAAGAAAACAGCAAGTCAAGGATGCAGAGAAACTGAAAAATTTGTACACTGCTGGTGAGAATGTAAAATGGTGTATCCTCTTTGGAGAAAGTGTGGTGGTTCCTCAGTTAAACACAGAAATACAATATGATTCAGCAATTCCTCTGCTAGATATATACTCAAAAGAACTGAAAGGAGGGATTCCAACAGATATTTGTACATCAATGTTCATAGCAACAGCCAAAAGATGATAACCACCCAAATATCTATCAACAAATGAATGGACAGGCAAAATGTGGAATGTTGATACAATGGAATATTAGTCAGCCATTAAAAAGAATAGAATTTTGAAACATGCTACAGCACAGATAAACCTTGAAAATATTATTATAAATGAAATAAACCAGGCACAAAAGACAAATATCCACTTAGATGAGGTATTGAGAATAGGCAAATACAGAGACAGAAGTAAGACAGAGGTTTCCAGGGGACAAATATGAGGGAAGGCAGAGTTATTGTTTAATTTGCACCAAGTTTTTCTGTGGGACAATGAAAACGTTTTGAAAATGGATAGTGGTGCTAGCTGCACAACACTGAGAATATATTTAATGCCACAAGACTGTACACTTAAAAAATGGTTAAAAAGGCAACTTTTATACTTCACCTTAGTTTTTTGAAAAGCAACAAGTGTTTCATATCAAATATTAAACACACTCTAGAGACTGTCAATACATTAACTTCTGCTAACAGATTAACTCATTTTTGTACATAACCAAGTTTCTTGACAGCTGTTTATCTGAAGAGTATCCAGAGATTTTTTTTTAATGAGCTATTTAAAAAATGGTCTATTCTCATGATAAGTAACTGTCAGTGAGAATGTTCTCCTTATGTGCAACCAGAACCAAATTTGGAAATAAACAAGGTGCTGAGGCTGGTAAGACTTCCATTGCCATGAATGTACCCTAATTTTCAACTTTTTTGTTCATTATACCGCTCAATTAGTTTTAACTTTTATTTTTAGTTATGACGCATTTCAAACATACAGAAAATCACAGATAATAACAGGCAACTGTGTTGGATTTAATGAATGCTAGCACTAAGCGATACTGATGTCAGTTTTTTTTTCTTTTATAAGGAAAACAATGAATGCAGCCTTTACTCTCCTTCCCAAGGCAGAGTTAAGTTAACCACTATTTGAAAATGGGACAGTGGGGGGAGGGTATAGTTCAGTGGCAGAGTGCATGCTTAGCATGCACAAGGTCCTGGGTTCAATCCCCAGGACCTCCATTTCAAAACAAGAATTGAAAGAAGAAAAAAATTAAAGAAAACGGGACTTGATCTTTCCCAGCCACAGGGTTTTTTTTAAAATGGACAAAAACAATATGTACTGTAACTCTGTGTTGTGAAAATTCACATAAATCATTCTCACTGATTGCCTTTATAAATATTATAAAACTCAAACTTACACACTTTACTAATGAAATGCTGTATTTCTATTATGCATACTGAAGTTCCACACAAGTCTGATAGAAAATAATAGTCTACTGCTAAATTTCTAAACTCTCAACCAGTGGTTCTCAACCACAGCAGCATTAGAATCACTTGGGAGCTTTCAAGGACAGACACCAGAGCCCTGCTCCAGACAAGTGAACTCAAATTTTTGCAGGTAGGGCCTAAATATCTGTTTTATATACAGTATTTGATTTTTTTTTAAATCCCCAGGTGATTTTACTAGCAACCAGAGTTGAGATTCACTGCTCTAAGACACTGTTTCCAAAGGAATTTCAGAAGGGACAAAGCAGCCACTAAAATAAAAATGCAAAACGGGAAACAAAGATATACATCTATTTGGTAGTGAGATTATGTTGCTCTTATATGTAAACTAATTTTAATATTATCTGAATTGGACACAATGTTGTGATGAGGGAGCAGCAAATAACTCAAAACAAATCCACAAATACCATTCCCAGTGAGATGGGGAAAGTGCAGCCAGCCCTTAGCCTAACCTTCATGAAGTGGGAATTACTGTTAATATCAATCCCACACTGTATGGTTCAGCAATAAAATCTAGGTAACATTTAAAGAAAAGGAAAAACAAAAAACAAACAAAAAAACCACTCTGATCCATGCTTAACCCTCAATATGGCAGGAAAAAAATAGTCATCACCATTTACCATCTGACTTCAAAGGACCCTATTTATTTTTCTACATTTACACTTGCTCTTAGCCAACAGGCTGAGAAGCGATTATTTTTCTATATTTAAAGTCATTTTACAAACATACAGAAAGAATAAAAGGATAACAAGTCATTTCCTTGGAGATTTTAATAAGAAATTAAAATAAGAAATCCAAATGTTTATTTCAGGTTTGTAGTTTGGAAGGAAGGCAAATATACCCAAAATGGGCAAGGTCCTTTAAATGTACCTAACTGATCAGCAGCTGACACATCAAACCTAGAGCACAGCCCCCGGTAACAAGGCCAGATTTCAAATTCATCTCCACAGGTTCTAGCTTATCATGATTCTGATTCTTCTTATACTGCTATTGGCAAAGCACACCCTTTGGAAACTGACACATAACTTTGTTGAAGAGACAACAGCCATCTTCTTTGCTCCATAACTACAAAACGCTTTCATTTCTAGATTTATAAAAGCCAAAAGAAGGATCTAATGATTTTTCTCATTGTTATATCATCAATTTCCTTCCAAAACACACGCCTACTTCTGCATGTGTCCACTTATTTTGTAGACATTAAGTGATAAGGGGGGGGGGATAGCTCAAGTGGTAGAGCACTCGCTTGGCATGCATGAGGTCCTGGATTCAATCCACAGTACCTCCTCCAAGGATAAATAAATAAACCTAATTATCTTCCCCCACCAAAAAAAGAAAAGAAAAGAATTGTTGACTTCAAAAAAAACAAAGTGATAAGAAACTCTGGTGGCCAAACATCATAAAAGATGAAAGGTTGTCGTCACACAAATTTTTTAAAAAAAATCAAAAACATGATGGTCTGGTTCTTGTTGCAAAATACTATGTGGCAAAGTCCTTCCTGCTGAATGACTGACCAGAGAGAACACACATTTCTTTCTTATACATCACAGAAATACATAGTTCACTTGCCAGCTTTTGGGTTTAGGAAAACTTATCTAAGGTATCATCTGAAGATTCCCAGTCTGAGTCACTTCAACACTCAATCTCACCATCATCATTAGACTCTAGTCTGTCTCCGCATTCATCTTCTGATTTGTCTAATAATAAAAATGTCTTCTTCCATCAGTTTTCTTCTCTTTGTCATTACAGATGGAAAAAGAAAAATTCTGAATTTTCACCTGGGTTCAATGAAAGCTAAAAGTAGATTAAAAAGATGGTGTCTCCAGTCTTCTTTTGTATCTTCTTGAAAGATGATGTGATATATTAGGCAATGGAATAAGAACACGAAAGGATGATGCAATAACAACAATTATTTCACTATTGTATCATCCACCCAGGGATTTCATTATTCCATTTTCTTATTATTTTAGTGTTGCTTATTGCGTATTTGGGAATATATGATCAACAGTGCTGAAATGATATATATGCAGGATGACAAGCAGTAATGTTTCAAAACAGGAAAACATTCCATAATGTAAAGATTTATAAAATGGGCCAAAGGACCCACAGGATCATTTTTAGACAGAACAAGTTTTATTTTACATTCAAAAATATGTTTTCTCTTTGTTCTTTTCAAGCCCTCTAAAAAATAATAAAAGTCCTATAATATCAATCCTTACAGAACTAGAAAAACCTCAAAAATAAAAATTGGGTCCAATGGACCATGAAAGTATAATGAAAATTAAAGTCTCCAATTTTTGTCTTAACCCTACTTAAATATGTCCCTGGCTCAAGTGAAAATAAGGACTCACGATCCGAAAGGACTGCATTTATTTATTTTTACAAAAGCAGTATTAAAAACAAAAGACTTCAAACAGTACAATTTTTTAAAAGTCTGTCTTCTATAACTACTACCAAGAGAAAACTACTTTTAAAGCTTGACATAACCTTCAAGATAGAAACTGTGCCCATGCAAACATATACAGATGTAGACAGACAGACAGACAGACAGACAGACACACACACACACACAGCTGGAGCTTTTGTTTACTTAACAAAAACAGAATCACACTATACATGTAACAATAGCTCTGGATCTTGATCTCCCCCATTCAATAGATTATGGGCCTCCGCTGACGTCCATGTATAAAGATCTACCACACTCTAGTACTCCCTCGGTTAGATGTATTTATTTAACTATTTCCCTACTAATGGACCTATTAGGCTACCTCCTGTTTTTCTCTGTTACAGACATTGTAGTCATGACCACCTTACATCTAACAGCTCAGACACTGAATAAGTTATCCTTTATCAGCACAAGCCACAGAATGGAACAGAATGGAATAGAATAGAACAGAAGTGCTTTCCCAACTCAGGACCTTTGCACGAGCTGCTCCCTCTGCTGGGAGTGTACTTCCCCTGCTCTTCTGCTTATCTTCCTCACAGAGGACTTCTCTGAATGGACCATTATTACTCTGACCTAAACAAGACATTCTGTGCTCTCATGATACGTGCTACTTCCATCCTAGCACTCACTGCACTTTCTGATGATATTGATGTTAATGTCAGTCAACTCCATCAATCAAGCTCCACATGGGGAGAGGCAGTGCTGCTGTGTACCTCCAGGGCCTGTCACCAGGGGCCACACCTGTCTTGTAGACAGAAACTGCAGGCTTTATTGGCTACGTTATAGAGAAGATGAACTGATTCACCATACAATCACATGCTCTAAAATTTTCAACAGCAAAATGGACAATCTGTTTAAAATGATAATTTCAATGCTGGCAGGCTGTGGGCAAACAGGCCGCTCACGCCTCATGAGCAGAGGCCTAAAATGGTACCATCTTCTTGGTGGGGAACTTGGCCGTATACATCACCATGCAACTTCACTTCTAGGACTGTGGCTCACAAAAATAATCACAGGCATACACAAAGACAACTACAACAATGTTCTTCACTACCTACGTTATAACAGTTAAAACTATAAACAACCTAATTAACCAAGCCTCTGTTGTTCAAAAAATAAACTGGTATGGGCACACAACGGAACACTTTGCAGCCATTAAAAAGTGCTCAGAAGCATACTGAATCTGAGTCCTCCACAGAATTATAAGTAAATGACATGGTAACATTCGTAATAAGCATTTCAGTGGAAAAAAAGGTGGTTACTGTACAGTATCATTGCATTTTTGTGAAACAGACAGATGCGTGTATTTACTTATACATGCACTGACATCCACCAAAATGTGTGTACTGACTATCTACAAATGGTAAATTTATACATCATTTGTTTTTCTTCTTTTTTTGAGTTTTTAAATTTTTTAGTTCACAGGCATTACTGGTAAGAAAAAAAATTAAAGTTACCTTTAAAAAATGTCTCTCTTGCAGGGGAGGGTATAGCTCAAGTGGTAGAGCATATATGCTTAGCATGCACGAGGTCCTGGATTCAATCCCCAGTACCGCCTCCAAAAATAAATACGTAAACCTAATTTCCTCCCCAACAAACACTTAAAAATTTTTTAAAGTCTCTCTTTACCTCTTGGTGCCCACTCTCCAGGTGGCCTGGTAGACCAGAGGCAGCTCATTTAGGGGGAAAGCCTAGTGTTTCATTTATTACTTCAAAGAAAAAGTCACATCCTAGTTAATGATTCTCGTTTCTGAAGCACTGGCTGAGGCCAGTCTTTGGGCCATTTCTGAAGGGAACTGTCTCTAGTTCAAACCATACAGAACTAGAAAAGGGGCAAAGAGGAGGAAACAAGGGGCATGAGTAATGACCATGTCTCCCAGCCAAGCTCCTTACAGAGGTCAGATGAGCCAAAGAGAGGGTGTCCACTACAGCCTCTGCCCGCAGGCCTGAGCTAAGCAACTGGTCTAGGGAGTGATGGTCAGCTCTGAGCCACTGACAGGCACTTTCCCTTTGCAGCAATACGGGGAGTACATACTTTCAAGGAGGAATCAAAGAGGGGAAAACTGCCTGGGATGCACTGAAAATACTTAGGACCTATGATCCCCAAACCCTAACTGTGCTTTAGAGTTACTCCAAGAGCACACTAAACAGAAAAAAACGCAACGGCCAGACTCCTAGGTCTTGGCTGAGACCAACTGTATTAGACTCGTGTGGGTTGGGCCAAGGAATTTTTTTTTTAAACTTCTTAAGTGCTTCTGAAGCAGACAACCCACATACCAGTGTTCAGCAATAGTTTAACAACTGTTGGCTAGAGGAAACCAAGAAATACCTACTCCATCTGACTCCAATTAGATTAGCACCAAAGTCAAGTCAAAAAATGAAAAGCCTCTAAAAACGACTCAGCTTTCACTACCTTTTGGTGTTTTCACAAATCTCACCACTGAGAGGCTCATCTTTTCAATTCACTAACTTCTCTTCTAAGTTACAGTTCATTGTCTCTTATTTGGTCCTCAGTGGACCGTGGAAACAGATGATCTCTGTTAAAATGCGAGATTACACTGAAGATGGAAATGCACTGTAACAAAAGAAAAACAAAACCCTCCTGGGCGGCCAGCCATGAAGCCACAGAGCATCATCCTAAGCTGAGTCACCCTGGAGGGGAGCGAGATAAAATGGACCTTAGCAAGCACCCAGCCAAGCGGCCACTCAAGTCCATATCTATCATCGCACATTTAGTCAAATGTTCTGTGCAAGATCTTATTCTTTGAGATCTGGTTTCTTGAGGAAGAAAAGTCAAATGCTTCCCAGGGATACATTTAGGAGGCATTTCGTGCTGTGATTAAACAGAACCATGAAATCTCAGTGTTTTCCACTCAGTGGGTTTCTTCTGAACCTCTGGTGAGAAGACTGCTTTACAGACATAGTCACAAATGCTCTGACCCCTCAGTGCATGGAGCAGATTTTCTAAGACCCACATTCCTATTTAGTCACAAAGAGTTAAAATCCTTTACCTATTGTGATAATTTTAAAACACAGCCCCCAAATCCTTTGATACTCCTCTCACTCAGAAGTAGGGTTCTCAACATTGTGAATGTACTAAAAGCCACTGAAACATACAGTTAAGATGGTTAAAAATTGTGAAATTGTTTTTTTTAAAAAGGAACAAAATTATGAAATTATGTTATGTGAAAAAAAGTGAGATTCTGTATCTCCTCTTTTTTGAAACTGGGCTCTGTGCCTTCTTGACCTGTAGAATATGGCCAAGTGATGCTATGTTGATTTCTAGGTCCAGGTCCTAAGAAACTGGCAGCTGCTTCCATTTCCTGTGTTCCACTATGCTCACTCTTGGAACCTAGCCACCATACTGTGAGACTGACTTTCTTGCTAAGAAATTTTTTTAAAGGGGAAAAAAAGGCAAGATAGCTACCAGGTAAAAAAAAAAAAAAAAAATCAAGTAAGCTATCAAATAACAAAAATTATGGACAGCTCTCAATGTATCCTCTTAGAAAAAGTAACTAGAGATGACGTCTTTCCTACCACCCTCCTGCCACACCCAGAGTGTCAGGGAGCCCCGGCTCTGCTCTCTCCTCACCTCCAGCCTCTCAGGCGGGGGCTCATTCTGCAGAATCCTCAGAGCTTTCGCAGCAGCATCATGTTTCGCAGCCTGTCTCGTCTTCCCTTTCCCATTAAATTGCTGTCCTCCCACAGAAAGTTCAACTTGATAAAGTAAAGGTGGTACTGGAAATGGGTAAAAGTACCTAAAAATAGAAGGGTAAGGAAAATTAGTCTTAGATGGATAAGTCACTCAAATATTCTCTGCCAAATTCCAGGAATTTCCTTCATCATAGGTCCTAACCACATTAGCGTTTGCCTGCCAATGACTCATCATCAGTCTATCCAGAGATTTCATACGTTCACGATGGAGAACTGCCACACAGTATGAGCAAATACTGTTCATGCTCCACAAAGTACATGGCTTACAAATTACATGAGCTCAATTTATAAAACTAACCCATATTTACAAAATCTAAAATGGATTAGGCTTTGGCTGAGATAGAAAACTCGGCTTACTCCATTTTCTCATATCTGAGATTCGTATTTCCATGTCTCCTGAAAATGTTGGAAATTTTTAAACAGAAGTCTTTCAGAGAGGACCCTCATTTCTGGAAATCCCAAAAGCCTATAGCCTGGCAAAGGCTGATTTCTTCCATTTCAGAGTTTCTGCTTTTAAAATGGCTTTGACCTCCACAACCCCCCACACTCCAAAGAAGGGCAGGGAAATAAAGGCCTCCATTTTGATCATCCATCTATCCTCTAGCGTCTTATGAACATGAACAGATTTTTAACACATGACATTTTGGGGTTTAAATTAGTATTTTAACTGCACTGTACACCAAAGCTATTTACAAAGCACATAAATAAATTCAAAAGTCAAAAAGTACCCAATAATCAATAATCAGGAAATCTATGAATGCTGAGACTCGTGTTACAGGAATCATGTTCAAATATGACTCAGTTGCACAAAAGAGTTACAAAGGTGATTTTTAACCAGACTGCTTGGGGCACAAACCGTACTGCTAGTGAGGAATGTGCTCAGGCCCTTCCCAATGACAGGCGTTTAAAAGAGCATCAAGATACTGTTCCACTGACACCAGCACAGTTAAGACTGACTTTAGCTTTTGGCAGAGCAAAGAGGGCCAAACCATTACGTGCTCTACAATCTATACATGTTATTATTCCATGAAAATAAAACAACACATACCTTGGGGGATAAGCACCTCCTCTCATGTTGTAGTTATAGGTGGACTGCATCCGAGAATAAGGATCAACAGGCTTATACATTGGTTTTTTTCCAAGTTTCATGCACAGTGCATTTAGCTCTACAGTAGGGGTTATGCTTTCTGCAACACAGAATCAATGTAAAGAACTGGTTTTCTTCTTGTATGAGAATGATACTCACTAAAATCAAAAAGAATAGCATGCTTTCTACTAACTGGATTCATGATGCATTTCATGGAAGGATCTAAGTACTTCACTGCTAGGCATCAGGTCAGGAAATTCAAGACTGCTATGATTTGTAGATATTAATACACAGTCAACATCATAAAATATACTATAAGAGCTTTTAGGGGAGCAACAATGTAATACAAGGTGTCAGCAGTGAAAGCCATACATTCCAGTTGTCAGAAATAAGTTCCAATACATATCAAATTCCATGATTAAAAAATCCCACAGGACTGTCCAAATCATTTCATTGTTTGGGAATATTTAACCAATATAACTCTGTACTGACTGACCGGCTTACACTTAGAAGGATGTCTGTACACACTACTTCATAAAACGATGCATTTATTCCATACTTGCTGGAGGTAAAGCAGTGTGCTAATAAGCTTGAGGAACATAATTCTTGCCCCAGAGGAGCTCAAAGAACACAACACACTCAAAGGACTACATTACAACAGGATGTGTGCTACAAAGAAAGGTACAGAATCACTGAGGGCGAGACAAGTAAATTCTATCTGGAGAAGTCAGATGAGACCCACAAAATATTTAGATTATTTCCATTCCTGAAATTTATAAAGGGATTTGACTTGTGGTAATACTTGTTAGGAAAATGAGTTCTGTTTCTATACACAACAGGAGCAAGTATATCTTCAATTATTTCAGAATTATCAACTTTAGGAAATACACATTATTCATTTTCATTATTTTTTTTCCTCTCGGTTCATCCAATTCATAAACCTTTAAAAACCATTTAAAAAGAAGACCAGCCTGGAAAGATTAGTGTCTGCACAATCGCATTTAAAAACAACACTTTCATATCAAACACAGAACAGCACTAGCAATGGCAAAGTTTCATTTAAATGCACACAAAAATTCACTTTAAAATGCCTCTTCTGGATGTATGTAAAGGAAAATAAAAATAAATTGATTCTGTACCATAATTGCTATGACTAAATTTAGTGCATAAATCAAATTGGTAAGGATATCTTTGGGTTTACAACCCGAAGATCATATGAGTAACCAACCTCTCTCTAGCTAATATCAGAACTATATATTTTACATAATTCAAATAGTTGCATTTTAAGTAAGAGCAGCTCTGACCCATAAAATTTATCTGCAGTGGAGAATAAATTCGAAGAAAGAATACAACAGAGAAATCAAAAGCAACAAGAAAGGTGTGACTGAGATCTTCCCAGATTCAGTCTCTCGTGCACAGGGCCTGGGATGACTTCCTGTACTTGAGGTAACTCTGCTAAACAGCTACTTCTGCCTAAGGCCACCAGGTCAGTGGTTCCCAACCTCTCACCAGATACTCTTCTTCATCAGTATTTTCCCCACTTAGCTCCCTTGCTTGAAAAGATATTATCTACTGATGTGTATTTAAGAAATAAATATTTAAGTTATTTTCTCATTATTGTTAATGTTCAGGAGACACAGAACTGACAATCAGGGCTTATGACTGACATGTTATAAACAATATTACCACACTAAAGTGAAATGATTTTAGCTAAAACCTACATTCTTGGCAGTCTACACAACCTTATCAAAAGAGAGAAAAAAATGTACTTTCGTTCTTAGAAATTGTTTGGTGACATCCACCACCTCCCATGACCATCTCTCCAGATCATTAGGAATCAATGGACCTTAGATTGGGAACCACTGCTTTAGAGTAAGGTTAAGATTCTGAAAAGGTAAGCATTTGCCACTGGTAGTGCAGAATCTGTGCTTTCAAAATCAACAAGTTAGTTAAGAAAGAATTCATATACATACTAAATGGGTACCTCTAGACACACTTTTGAAAGGAACCTGTCTTGGCCCACGCATAATACCTGGATTCCTTCCTTCGCTACGAAAAGGGCGGACTATGGGTTTAGGAAATTTTGTTCCTTCCAAAGCTTTGGCAGCAGCTGTGTGTTGGGCTTTTTTAATACTAGTTCCTTCTGCTTCCCAGTGCTGATCTCCAAGTGTTAGCTGTACTGTAAACACCTACAAATGAAAATTGTGAGCTCTCAATTCATGAAACCTGATGTTCACTATGATATGTCACTTGGATCTTGAATATATCTTATGGCCATGGTTTAAAAGGCCTGGTCATTATCTTGGTAATTTATCCCTTTACCCCCTTTTTCGTTATTTTTATAAACACAAAAAGATACGTATATCATTAACTTGTACTGCACAGCATTCCTTGAAAAAACTATGCTTTGAAAGATGAGGGTAAGTACAGAGATTTTAAAATATCTTTTCATATATTAAAATACTAAATGCTGATTATTTGGAAGCCATTCAAACAGGAAATGTCTTCCCATTACTTCCCATGGAAGAAATCTGGCAAACTTGTTTTAGACACATAGTTCAGTACCTCACATAAATTAAGACAATACTTGTTTTGATGTTGCAATGTGTTTGTAGACTTTTGTCTGAAAACACAACCCCATTAGAACAAAACCTCAAATAAATTTGGGTATGTCAGGCCCTAAAATGCCTTTTTACTTTCCTAAGGCTGCACTATCCAGACACTACCTCCACTTTCAGAAGAGAATCAGATCCACAGCAAGCAAAGATCTAAAAACATTTCTGAATTCAATTCTAAGGAGGCATCCAAAACAGCCAACTTTTGTCCTCAACAAATGCTGATAGTGGCAAGCCTCTTTTTTTCCTTTTTAAGTAAAAGGTAACCCATGTGCACACTCCGTTTGTAAAACTAGGTTATATCAATCCTATCAGAACTGAACTAATATTCTGTAAAAACAAAACAAAACTACGAACCATCATAGCACAATGATCCTTTAACTCTAGTGTGCATCTGAAGAATAACCTGGGAAGCCTGGTAAAACACACACACCCGGGATTTAGACTGGACAGCACCAGAAGAGACCCACGCATGCGCATGCTTAATGAGCTCCCAGAGTGATTCTAAGGCACTTCACAATTTGAGACTCACTACTCTGGCGCTTTTATTCTGCTTTCCTTTATCACTGAATATCACTTTATTTCATTTACAAACAATCCACATGAGAAATGGTGATCTGAGTATGTCTAGGTCATTTAAATTCGGTGCCTAAAGGGATGGGGCCAACTTGCCTTCATAGCTGATTTTTCTTGTAGGTCTTAACTCCAGGATTCCCTCAGTGCATAGTTTCCACTAAAGAGGAAAAATTAAAGAATCTTTCATGCCCCTTGGAACATTAGGGAGTCTCCTGCATTTCTGCTGCAATTAACAAAGTTACTCATTTAAGCACCAGTAACATGAACTCAGAACCCTGGCTGGCCTGAGAAGTCAAACAGCAGAAGCCGGCAATGCTGTGCAATCCCTGGGTCATTTTCATGGTCCTTTCATGGAAAGACATTGAAGGGGAAAATGCTAAAAAAACAGAAAAGAGTTAATTTCATGATCAGTCTTGCCTTTCTCCAGGACTGTCCCCGTCGGCGTTGCTGCCACTCTGCTGCCTTCTGTGTGGAGTGTTGGTAGTGAGGTTAGATCTTAGTTCAGACGGAATTTAAAGTACACCAAACCTCTGACTTTTTAAATAGTCTATCATCTAGGGAAGGAATAACTTTTCCTCTTTGAACAACTTGTAAATTAAAAAAAAAATGCAGTTACAGATTGAACACACAGCCAAATTACCTAAGGTACTAAAGTTCAAGTAAGAAAATACATATTTTAAAAAAATCAAAAACAGTTAATAAAGGGAATCCCAAAGTTAAGGTCTGCAAAAAAAATCCTGTAGAAGAAACAGAACAGTTATAAAAAGAGGCTAATTGCCTTCCAAAAGAAACATTTCAAATATAATTATGCTTACAATGTTAAAGCTAGCTTCATGTGAGTGGGAAATTTCTGTTTTTCTTAAATGCACAACTGCTCAATAATAATAGCTACCATTTCTCAAGTATTTATTATGTGCCAGGCATTGTGCTCTACACTTCAATATATATTCTCACAATAGACCTATTTGGTATCAGTATTACTATCCCCATTTTACAGATAAGGAAATTGAAGTTCAAAAAAAAGTAGCAACTTGCTCAAGATCACACAGCTAGTAAGAAGCTAAGATTCAAACTGAGATCTGTCTGACTCCAAAGGCAACTAACCTGACTGCGCTATCCTATGGTGTCTATTTATGATTGTGGTTGATGTTACTTTTAGTCAAATGAAAAGAGAAACTTAAAATCATTCAAAGTTTGAGGTTTGCATGCCAAGAAAAATGAGGCATAAAAGAGACAACTCATCCTATAAAATTATTTTACTGCAAGGCTAGGATCAGAAACAGGAGGCCCAATTCCTTCTCTCTCATACTATCCTCCCCTACTACAGCTGCAAAAAGTAAAGCCAGATATACAAACATTTAAGTTCCAAGAGGTACTTAAGAGGTACACTGGCACAGATATCAAGTAAGTTTAAAAGACTGAATTCCTGAATAGTCAAAATTCAAATTAGTCAGTCTTTCATCCTCTAAGTAAGGCGAATGACAAGGATACTGAAATTAGAGACAATCCAAAATACTCATTGGGAGATTAATTTCTACCTCTTATTTTCAAACCTTGTATCTGGATTGCTAACAAGTGGCAAAACTGATTTCTCGTTCACCTCCTCACTCAAAGCCCAGTCTAAGGTACACTTGCAAACAAGCAGGAAAGGAGCCAGAGGCAGGCTGCAGCCAGGAGGCCCAGAGCCTGGACAACTCATAGGGAATCATTCACGGGTGCTTGGGAGTTGTCTCTATTCAGAATCCTAAACAACCACACACTGACTGGAGTTTTAAAAGCCAAATATCCCAGAAGAAGTATTATCTTTTCTTAGACCCATTCTGCAAGGATGAAAAAAGTAACCTGCCAAAAATCTGTACTTTTGCATCTAAGACAACCGCAGAGGTTTGAAAATACATATTCTGAATCACAGCACCACTTGCAACTGTATAAAAAGAAAGAAAACATTCCTAATGGGTTATAAATGAATAAGCAGTATGGACAATATTTACCTTACAGTGAGCTGGACCTTGCTCACGCAAAAGCTTATACTCAGGCTGAATCTTGTTGAAACGGGCTAACTCATTCACAAGACACATTGGGGTTTTCTCTTTGGGGTGTGCCATGTTAGAAGGAACTGAAAAATAATGTAAGAGCATTGAAGTCAACCAGCAGTATATAAGACTGCGGCTCTCCCAGGGATTAATGAATAAAGAGGGAAAACAAACTGAAGGTCTAAGGATTTACAACAGCAGTGATGCAAAACTGCAAACCACACTGGGGGCACCTATCTGAAGACACAGCCGAGATCTTCTCTGAACCAGCTGAAGCCAGGTAACCTAGTAGACGGTGTGTCTTCAAAAGAGACAGAATAGACAGGAATAACTAACCATTTCAGGCATGTAAGATTTGAAGTCAGATGAAGCACTGCTATTATAACCAAGGGAATAACAAGGAGGTCTTTTGAGCAGAGACACACACACACACACTGGTTACCGCAACCGCTGTTAGCTGTACCCTGTTCGTTATTTCACAAAATTCAACATGCCGATACCATTTCTCAAATGACAACTGTCGTTTTCCACACAGCTAACTTCTCATTCCTGGGGCGTCCTCTTGTCTTATCTCCAGAGGCTGCTATCCTCAGACCTTATCTATTTCTGACAATTATATAAGTTAAATAAAGCAGCCTTGGTGGGCTGGATTTTTATAAAGTCAACAAAACATGGATATAAAAGCACATTAGAAGAAAAAGCAACAAATCCCAGACGGCTGAAATAGTCTGTGTCATGTCCTATTAAGATGGTATTCAAATAGGAAATGTGGGGAACACTGAATCTGTAGGGGACTATGACAAGTCAAGAATGCTATCTGGTGAGCCAGTCCAAGGAAGTGTAGAGGTAGCGTGACAGACGCCATGCAGCTGAGAGTGGGACAAGCTAAGGCTCCAAGAACAGATTTATAAAGTAAAAGGAATGAGAGGATGAAGGAGGAAATGCAAAGGAAACTGTCAGGCATAAGGGTTGAAAAGAATTTGTTACAAGGTGACTCCACTATAGAGACACCCATGCTGATACTCCATTCAACTGGTTTTGCAGCTCTGAAGGGAGGTGAGATTTGGGGAGCAGAATATTGTTTTTTTAGAGTTTTTTTTCCCAAGGGTTTCAAGTCTTTTCTGAGCAATGAGCACATTTAGTTCATTTTTATTTTCCGATATTTAAATTTGAATGCTTCTAAACTTATTTCCTTTTTAAAAATCTGTTTCTCTGTTTAGTTTCTAATTGGTTCTCACTATGGTTTCTTAACTACCTCTGGAATCTCAATTTAAACTTGCTTGTTCAAAATAAAAATTAACAAATGCCAACACACTCCTTTGCTTTCCAGTAAATCTGGCTGCCCCCTTGCTTGGGGTAAATCTTAGAGACATCCAAAGGGGGTTTACACCTACGAGTCAGTTCTGGGAAATAGTTTTAAAAGCAGAATTTTCCCATACAACAATGAGTATCAAAAGTGGTATTTACTGTTCAGTTCTTTCTGCCAGCCACCACCTTCTAACAGACTAGGCTTAAAGCTTAGTATCCAATTTTTTTTCTTATTCTTTGAAATGGGCTGTCGAAGGCCTCCACACTCAATATACAACCAGGTGTTTTACATCTGGGATAAAGAAGCATGAGCAGTGATACTATCTTCTGCTTCTTGAATGTAAGTGTACGAGAGCTCCCTATATCTGCAATCTGCTTACAGATCAGAAAACAGGCTGAGAAAACATTTGAAACAGAAGACACTTGGAGTCATACGCTTACCTGCAGCTGCACTGGTGGATGTAATAGATGCAGAGGGTAAAGCAGAGTTTTGAATAGGTCTACCTGCATTTTCAGAGGGCAGAGAGCTAGTAGTAGAAGGAATACTCATCAAAGGCTGTGAGAGAAGAGACTGGTTCTTGTTCAGTATTTGGCTCCCTGAGAGAGCAGCAGATGGGTTCTGAACTTGCACTTGAACTTGAGACATGGTCACTTTCAACAAAAGTGAACAACTGCAGGTAAACAGCTTTCAGTGCAGGTTAATTCAGTGCTATGAAGTCTAAAGTTCTACCTGAAAGTTGTAAGGGAAAGAAAATAAAAAGGTAAATTATAGAGGAGATATGTAATTGCCAATATTCAGTCAAAATCGGTGTCACCTACTCAAGTATAAAATAGTCCCATTTAGTATGTAGCTATGTTGATGTATTAGAAATGGGTTTCTCCATGATATACAGTAAGGTTCACTGGCCTTGTGACTTTCTCATGGTGTTTTTAAATGACTTACAATACCCACATGCTCATTTGACAAAGAGAATCAGTAGGGTATAATAACATTCATTGCTGAATATTAAGAATTATAAAATACAGCTTATATTCAAAATGCAAATTTAAAAATATTAAGAGGTTTCCCATTGTATACGGAATATGGTAAAGGTTTCCGGTCTCAAAATGAGATGAAGCTGAAAGCAAACTGGGTTCATAACACCATTAATAGGTGAATGTAAAACACTGTTTCCGTTTTAGGACAACGCACTCAGATTGGCACCCTTAGAGCTTTCCTTTAAGTTGACTGAAGAAAGAGAGGAATTCCTCACTTTTGCTACTTCTTTTCCCTTATAATATAATGATAAAAGATTTATCTTCCTAAGAGGTTTGTTTGAGATGGTCTCATTTATTTACAGAACCCAAACAAGAACTGCTGCAACCACATCAATGCTCATGATTCTGAGAAATTATTTGAATAATACAGAACATTCTACAGTATTTGTACTATCAAAAGTAAAAGTGGAGATGAAGAAAACAGGAAAAGGTTTCAGACGGGCAATTTTTCTGGTGTGGCTGGTAGGGACAGGGCCTGGGGAGCAGAGGAGATTGTTTACTGCATCTTGTAAGTTCCGAAGGCATTACTTCTAAATCCATAAAAATTTCTTCTCAAGTCAAAAATAAGGACAATTCTCCTCATTTTCATGGCCATTCCACAAGGAGCTGAAAACGTTTAAGCAAATCAAAAGTACTCAAAAATAATCAGTAAGCAACAAACAATAGAAAAAGCAAACCAAAGCAGAGACAAGCAAACTAACAAACTAGAAGTTCTATTACAGAGTAATTGTTACTTTAATTTTTAAAAAAGTCTCAAAATGATTTTAAATTAAAGCTGGACCTCTAGAAAGAGAAGAATGACCAGAGCAATTAAGATACTTGGGGAGTCCTGGCACATTCTCTCTTGCTGAGAGCAAAAAGGACTACAATACTCAAAACAAAAACAAAAAACCTCAGCTAAAACATGACTTTGGGTAATACAGGCATAAACATTGCCTTATACAACAGAGTTTCCCAACTGCAGTTGTTCCTTGTTTACTTTTGGAATCAGAACAAAGTCACAGCGAAGATCCACTGAAGAGCTAGATAATGGTCTTAGCAGACAAGTTGCCAGTGTCAAGAAACAAGTCCTGAACTTTTTAGAATTCTGGCAGCTACGACCTTCACCATTCTTATTTCATTCAGCTGCCAAAACATAAGTATTTCTCTCTCACTCTTCCCCTTCCTTCTCTTATTCACTTTCTCCCTCTCTTTCTAAACTCTGTTTTGAGGGCATTTTTCTACTCCTCCCATTCCTCCTAAAAAATTTAGTGTACTCACAACTTCACAACACCAACCACAGGTCACAAGTCAAAACATAAGCCAAAAGCACAGTGTTTGCTCCAGAGTCTACCTGCATCCCCAGAGGAGCAACCCAACTCTGCCCCAGGTGGCTCTGAAAGCCTTACACTGAATGAATGAACTAAATTGAGAAAAGGCGGGGCCCAAAGGGATCTTTTTTTGGCCAATGTTCTCTACAGCAGGCCGACTGCCAGCATTTCAAGTCAAAGACATAAATTCATAGGTTTTCTAGACGTTGAGAAAGTGAACAAACAGGCTTTTAATTAAGACTGCCCCAAAAATGTTAACCTCAAGTACACCTGGAGGAATTACATCTTTATGACAATTGGCTGAAACAAGTAGTTCAAAACGGCAAATAAAAATTTTTAAAGGCTGCGTATTTTACAAATTTTTAATTTCCAATATAAGCAATAAAAATTCAACAAAAAAAGTACTCATTTTTAGCCATCTACTAATTTAACATTTCTATGTGTCTTTAAGTCCAAAAAGAAACTCTAAAGTAGTGGTTCTAAATAGGGGGCAATTTTGTTCCCCAAGGACGTGTTACAATGTCTGGATACATTACTTTGTTGTCACAACTGGGGGACTGGGAGAACCTACTGGTTATCTAGTGGATGGAGGGGGGCAGGGATGCTATTTTGAGTACATATACACAAATCCACAATATATAATCTTCCTAATGTATTAAGCAGCCTATATTCTCAGACAGGAAAAGAAAATCCCCTTTTCATCTCAAAAGGCACTAAAAAATTGATGCTAATATTTTATCCAAACAGATGTTCCTCCCCCAAGAGAAGCCAGGCAACAACCATAGTTATGAGTGGGGGGAAATATATGGTTTACCCACATAATTCAAAGAACAAATAAAGCTTTTCACCACTGCTATTTATATATTTCATAAAAGTATTCAGGGGAATTATGGAATTTCAGAGAAACCACTTTTGTATAAATTTAGAACCTGCTGCTCAATAGTACTCCATCCTGAGATTAAATCCTTAAATGAAAACTGGACTTTTCCTTTAAACCTGTCTTTAATAATTGTTTTCCATCAGATGAATTAGGGACCCGAGAGAGATTAAAATGCTTTATTGAGAATCTTCTTACAGAACAATTTTTCACACATGGCAAAATTAGGTTAAAAAGTTTGAAACACAAAGACTCTAGTTTTCCCCGGCACTGGAAACACCTCTGACTGCTAAGCCTGTGTTGCACAATTTCCTTGTCTCCTGCCTCCATCACAGACGAGAGCCTTTAATCTCCTAGTTTTTACTATTTGAAGAGCTTGAGATACCAACTCAAGAATAAATGTTCAATCTATTCTCAAATCCTAAATTTATGGAGTACATATAAGCACTGTAACACTACATGAGGAGCAATGTGAGTTAAGGGTACCTCTTTTTAAAAGATTCCTTGTTCCAAGACCCCCCAGTTCCTAACTTTGGCTTGGTGACACAAAAGTCTTCTCACAAAAATAGTCTCACCGTGGCTGGCAGCTTCCATTTTCCAAGTGTCAAGCACTTTTTAATGGATTGTGGGAAAGGGGAATATGGGCACATGGATTCTTTATAAGCATTTTTCAAAATTATACATGACGTGCTAAAAAATGATCAGGCACAAAACACATATTCCTAACTCAGTAGTGAATCTACCAACAATAGGCCATACTGAATGCACAGTCTGAGTGATTTAATACATAAGGCAGATTCTCCTAAAAACAGTTTACAGAGCCACCTGCAACAGTGCTTAGTCCTAATCACTTTCAACTAACACTGTTAAATCATGGCAGTATGAAATACCTACTTTAGCAATTATGGAAAAGCATAATCTTTATTATCCAATTTTTAACCCAATAAATACATGACATAAAGTTTCCAGACTTTTGTGTAATCAAATCATTCCCCTTTGTAATAAATGATATTTCCAAACAAGATGTGGTTTAAAAAACAAAAAAGGAAGGAAGGAAGGAAAGAAAGAAAGAAAAAGAAGTCATCCCAATTCCAGACAAGCTTTTAAGACAGCCACAAACATTTCGTTAAATATCTCCCCTTCTCTTCTTCGTTACATCTTATGTAATACAGGTACACAGATACAAAGGAATATTCCAATTCCTTGCCATGACAAAGCATTAGCAGTACCAACAGCAAGTTCAGCATATACTCATTCACTATCAACAAAAATTTATTAACCATCTACTACATGTGAACGCTTTTATGGCCGACTGTACATCCTCAAGTGCTAGAATCTACTTGTTAAACTTTTCCTCAAAGACAAGAAGAGATCTCTCAGTGGAAATTTGTTGACAACATAAAAAAGAAGTTAAGGAAGAAACCACTTTTCCTACAAAAGCCTTGAAATACACCTAAAATATCCACATCATTCCCTTATATTCAACAGTTCCTTCCAAGATTCTTTTCTGATTCATCCTTCTAGCTACAATGTGGTTATATGTTTTCTGCAAGTAAACTCACTAGCCCTCCACCACCCGCCACCACCACACTCCCTACCTCACCTCCCTCTACCAGCACCCGCCATCCCCTGCCCCGGACCCCACAATTCACTGACTCCAAACACTATCCATACACCTACATACAGGCAGAGCAACCACAAGTACAGAGACATGGCAATCACTACTGTCCTACATAATAATTTCCAAAATGACGATATCAAGCAAATAATGTCCAATAGCAGGCCTGTATATCAAACAGCACAATGATAAAAGGTTCTTAAAAAGAAAAATGACCAAAGTACTTAAAAGGAAAAAACCCCAAAACCCCACAATGTACTTGATATTCAAGAGAAAGAAAAGGCATATAGCCATGATAAGGCACAATCACTTGCAAGACAATACAATCAGCCAAAAATAATGCCTGGAAACAACCCAGACTGTTCAAGACCTTTGCATCCAATACAAGTGACTGAATGTGGCCAAGCTCACATTTGGCTCAGTGCCAAGTGGGCAACAGAGGATTTTCTTTCCACACAAATGTAACCACTGGGTGGTCCATTTAAAGAAACACTTCCTAAAACAGAATTCATTATTAATTGTTCATCATAGAAGAACCATACTAAGTGAAAAAAAACTTACCTCTGAAAACTAACAAGCTGTTAAAACTTATTTTCTTTCCTAGGTTTGAAACCTTATCAAGTTACCCTCTTTCCTTCCCTAAGAGACATTTTAAAAAATAACCAAATGCAAACATTTGTTATTTTTGTAAACCTGAAAGTGTTTTTAAACCAAAATGAATATGATTTTATGATTTGCTGGAGTTTTAAGAGTAAGTACCGTGTGACATATTCTTGAATAAGAAGGGGCTTCATGCCACACAGTTAACTGGCTTTTCCTTTCAGAAAAGGGAATTTTAGTCTGTAATCATGTGCCATCTACCTAGAAACACAATAGCATTTACCATCATCCTCATGCAAAACAGACGAGTGCCAAGACCTAGTTTCTAAGAAACCAGCCTTGCTGCTAAATAGCAACCAACAATGTTAAATCAGATCAGACTTCTGAACTGTGGCTTTCAGTTCTACTTCTAACTCAGACAGCAGCTATACGTTCAATTCTTGGCAATCCATTGCTCGGTGCCTCGGTTTCCCCCAAAGCACTCTGTTACAGGCTATTTGACAAAGCTTCAGTTGTAGGAATCGGAGAACCAACAAAAAATCCTGAGGCATGGTAACAGTTACTCTGTTCTTTGAAAAGAAAAGCATTATACAAATTCAGTGCAATGAGTGCATATCCATTCCAAGCTTTGTGTAACTTCTCTAAATTCCTCATGCATCAATTTCCTCATTCCCAAAGAAAGTGGGTTTAATTTGTCTACCAACTACTACCTCAGAAATATGGTATGATGATGTACTTTCAGCTCTTAGAGGGCAAGTACTAAAAACACAAAGCAGTGCCAATGCTTGTAGTGTGTTTTGCAGTGTCCTGATAAAGGACTGTAAAATCCTAAACACTCTTATAGTCAAACTTCTTTGGTCTAGACGATCACAGGCAGCCAGCGGTAAACAGAACTTTATTCATAACCCTATCTCATGACAGAAAACAACGCTGAATTATTTTCACAAGGTGGAAAACCAAGCTTAACATAAATAATCTGAGGAATTGAAGGCAAACTACAAAAGTTTCTATGACCAAGATGCTACTGAGTTATGTTTAACAACGATCTCAGACGTCAATTTTCATGTCTGTATATTTAAAGTATAGGGTGGTGTTGGCTAGGTTTTACACCCTTGTCAACAATTTTCTCTGTATTTACTTCCTAATTAAATTCCAAAAGGAAAAAGAAATCAAACTGCATAAAATTTCTTCTGTTTCTCTAATATTATGGCCAGAAAAAAAGTCATTTTCCATGCAGGCCACTGAAGAATTCAAAAATATTACAGATTATGAACAGGCCTGAAATTATAGAGCCAAATGATGTGTACCTTAAAAACAAGTGCTCCAGGAACAACGTTGTTTTGGTTCAGTTCTTAGAGGTTACGCAGTTGGGAAACTCCTGGAAAATAAGAAACAACAGTAATTTACTAGAGTAGATCTTTTTCTGAAAATAAAGATACATATTGCTAAAGTTTTGGGGAAACCTAAAATTTACAAGTATATAAGTTTCAGGGTGAGGATATAACTCAGCGGCAGGGTATATGCTTAGCATGCACGAGGTCCTGGTTGGAGTCCCCCAGTACTTCCAGTCAGTCAGTCAATCAATCAATCAATCAAGCTAATTATCCCCCCTCCAAAAATAAAAAATAAAAAAACACAGTTATCTAAAAAATTAAAACAAAAACAAGTAGGGAAGTTTCTTATAGCATGATGTCATGGCTTGAAGCAGCACACCATAGTCTACAAAAGACACAACTGCCTGGGAACTGGGTAAAGAGTACTTTGCAGAGACATGAACATAAGAGACAGTAGAAATTTCCTTTATAAGTCTCAATTACTTCCTGCTAAGAGAATACTGTGAATACTCTGGAATTAAATTTTAAAAAAGGAACTGGACAGCTAATATTGTCCAATCACACAAGCCTGTTTTTTTTTTTAAGACAGCCTGTATACAAGCCTGATTTTTAAATTTATAGGTTTCCCCCTCCTTCAACTACTGGCTAAATATTTTATTCACAGACATCCTTACCATACAAATGGTGACAAAAATACAATTACATGGGAAAATTTACAAAAAGGCACTTTGTATATAAATATCCTTATATTAAATTGCAAAATACAAAAAAGTGTATTACCTCTAGTAAATTCAAATCACAATCATTCTTTAGAACGGATTTCAGGTGACATGAGAGTTTAATTCTCAAACTCTTGGGTTTCATTCATCTACAGGCTCCCCCTATTTAAATGGCAGTAGTCAGTAACAAATTGGATTCCTTACCTTGAGATCCTTTTTGCATTTTTACAACATAATTTTCCTCATTTCAATTTCACACTGTTACTGTGATTTAATAAACAATAAAAAGTGGCTGTTCACTATCCAAGTAATTTCAGAAACTGTCCAAATAATTTCACGAGCTCTAACTGGTCCTACAGTATTTTAACAACCCACGTTCTTCTTTCTGAAAACTATACTGCACTAACAATTCTCCAGTCTAGAACCCTATTGTTCCACAAGCTCATCCATTCAAAAGATTAGTATGAACGAGAACTGAAAAGGCCTCTGAGCAGCCCAAACAAATGTTTAAGGCCACCTCATACAGCCCGTTCCTTTTACCGGGGGGGCTTTCCTCAATTCAAGCCCATCTATGCTTAATGATTATGGTAGGCTTGGTTTTCAAGTTTTCCAGCCCAAATCTGAAGTTAAAAAAATTAGAATGGAAAAAAGGAGCTGCCAGAGACAGACATCATGACAACACTGAGAGACAACTGCCAACAATTTAACAGCAAAGAAAAAAGGGGGAGGGAAGAGAAATACAATGTCTGCAGACACGTGGATTTCTAACATCTCTACACAAATGATATCTGAGATTCATATACACCTTCACACTTCCATGAGCAAACTTTTTTTAATCCGCAACCATTTCCAAAGCCACCATGATGATTACCAGAACATCTATACAGCACTTACTTACTCCAAGCAGCAGGGTTAAGCCCAACTCCCTTTCTTTTCCACTCAAGAAGCATACTAGAATGCTAGGGGGTGAATTAAATTCATCGCTTTATTCACTTAATAAATAAATATTGAACATCTACTATTTGCAGGCACCATTCTGGGCACTAGAGAGAGAGGAATACACCAATAAGATGTAGTCCCTGTCCTCATGGAATTCACATTTATATAGGAATAACCTTGGACCCAATACAAATTTACATAACTAATTCACAGTGGCATTTTAATTAGTAGTGACAAATCATTTATAATACATATCACCTCATAACTGAAGAAGACACAAAAGAACATAAACGGTCCCTTGGCAGCAAGACACTGATTTAGGGTAAGGGCAACCAGCTATCACATGACTACTTGGGTGAAGAAGAGAAAATCCCTCATTGGAAATCCGAGTTTGGGTCCCAACTCTGGTGCTCAGATGAATTACCCTAAGCAAATTACTCTGTAGGCTTCAACCTTTTAAATTGGGCTACTACCACCAATTTCATATGATTAATGAACAATAATTACATGATTCCTGGGTGGATCTACTGGAAATGTAGGTGAAATGCTTGTAAACTATAACATGTCACACCAAAGTTAGCTGTTAAACATCACTTTCTTAGGGTACACGGTAACCAATATTATAAAATAATATTAACAAACCATGTTCAAAACACTTTAAGAAAGAAAAAATGTAGCAAACTTAGAAAGAACCTCACTGCTTCGAAAAAATGTTTTTTACTTTATTCTTTTTCATGTTTGGTGCTTAAATAGATACATTCTCAGTTAACAGGGAAACTACTTCCTTGAAGCAGTCATACTCTAAATGTTACAGACTGTAAAGCTTTGCTCTACTACAAACCAAAAGGAAACGTATTTACCTATGTTTGACTGCCATCTAGGTAAAGGGTCATGGAGCTTCAATGAGCAGGTTAAACTGTGCAACAAAGAACATAAGCCTCCAAGAATAATCAGACTTATCATTACATATAAATTATCTTCTGACAGAGGAAAGGACTGCCTAGCATTTTGTACCAAATCACAATGGCATTAGCAGACAATGGCCTTATTTGTACCAGGGTGGAATCTGCAAGGGTAGAAAATTCATGCTTCAGTTAATTTTGATCTATAGAAAGCATGAACTTCAAAAAAGCAAAAACGGGAGAGAATCAGACAAGATCTAGTTAGATCATAAAGCTCATGCCTGAGGGGAGCTGACAGAGTAACAATTTAACAAGCATTATCTGCTCACTTCATTCCCAGAAAAGACACATTTCCAACACCTTTTTATGATTGAGACACACCTCAGCTGAGGTTAAAAACACAGAATGCAAACTCATGAACTATCTCACGAAAACCCCAAATCCAAAGGCAGATTTAATTTCACTGACCTAGCCTTTTCAGACTAGCCATAAAAGATGACTACTGCCTAAGAGAACCAAAGAGGTTTCTCATTCAAGGAGATCACCCACTCAAAGAAAGTAAAAAAGAAATTGTTTAGGAGGCAGTTCAATACCAAAAGGAAAGTTACATTAAATATTCTGAATACCATTAACCAGGAAATGAATGTTAGAAACGGCTGGGAAGCAAACAGAGCAACAAAAATTAACTGCAGGCTTAGTTAACTCATTTCCAATAAAGCAGAATATATTTCTAAAGAAATTCATTTTCATAGCAACAACCTTGTCTATAGTTAATAAATCATTTTTAATAAAATTCATAAAGGATTATAGCAATAATTTAGCAAGAGAACCTCCTTCAACACAAAGTCAAATGAAACATCCTCCTCCCCATTTACTTCTAATCCCCACCTCGAACCTTTGAATCAGCTTAAAAGTTTTAGTTTAATTTGACTGCAGCAATCTATCACCACAAACAAAAGGAACCTGTAAATCTTTAAACTGTTTCAAGGAAGTGACCAATAGCATTAATTAAAAAGACTGAGTATTACTGAACCAGACTTTTTTCCAAATTGATCTACAGTCCTAGCGAACAAAATTCATCCTAACTGCAGTGGGTAGGAGAGTTGGGGAGAAAGAACTGACACATAGAATAAATTATCCTAAACAAAAAGCACCTGAGAATAATTAGAAACAAAATGTGGTTCAGTGGAAAGACCTCGGGACCCCGCTCTAGTTACCTGGCCTCCTAGATGGGCCTCAGTACCTCAGCTATTACAACCCTTCCTCGCAAAGGCACTGCGGAGTATCAGAAATACAACATAAAGCATCTACTCAACCTTTAGCACAAAGGAAGAGCTCGATGAACAGCAGCTTTAGCAGCTTTTATATTATTACATAAATTCAACCTGACCTTTGAAATTCCTTTCCTGCATCAAATAACTCTCACCCTGTAATCCAAACCTGGCACATGGTAAGAGCTCAATAAATAGTAGCAAACATTATTATCCAGCAAATTCACTAATTCTGTCCTCAGTCATATAAACATCTATAAATATAAATTTATAGTTACATACCACTTGTAAAAAACATTTTAAATGGGAATAAAGAACATGCTGACTAAAATCAACCCACACTTACTGGGCAACCAGTTCTAACACTACTTCAAATATAGAGACAATCTGATGAACAACCATTTTCACTTCGGGAAAAGACCCCAGGGCACTTAAATAGATTTTTCTTAGACTCTGCAGTCCAGCAGACATAACAAAAAGCCCCTAGGACAATTATGACCTCTGTTCCATATTATAATACAATGATCTGTTTTGCTTCCATTACTGTTAATAAACTCACAAAGTCATCACACTTCTCTTCCAAATTAGATTCCAGATTAAACAGAGGCAGATGGGCTACAGATTTAATATTTAGAAGACTAATTTTTAATCAAAAGCAAAAATATTCTTGGATAGATTTTTTTTCTACTTTGGTTTCAGTAAATATACTTTGAGGGAGCCCCCTAAATATACGCCTTCAACAAACAACTGAACATGTGTGATTCCAGAAAATATAATTAAGTCTAAAGAGAATTTGTTTCTTCCTCTACTTATTTGGTGACATAAATGACTTTACATCAACCTCATTCCCTACTATGGAAATGTAAATATTTTTCAAATAACACAAGCTATTTGCAGTAATTTCCCCATTTTACCATTTTTTAAAGTAAATAATTCTCTTTGGTGAGGTTTTCTACAGTTCAGAGCATTAAGCATTAAGTCAACAAAACATCCAAGCCATCATCTGGTGGCACTTGTTAAGATCAACATAGCTACATATTTATAACCCTATTATCTCCTTAGGTGAAAACAAAGGATTTGGTCAACATTATTCAAACTTCATAATACTTGATTTATAGGTAAGCACATCTTCATGCAAAAGTTCACTAAACAACTTCCTTTAAAAAGCAGAGTTCTGTAATCAAAGCAAAATTAGAAACAAAAATCAATAAAGCTTTTAAAGATCT